CATTTTGTTCCTGTTCATCTATTTTGTTTGAGGGTGATACTTTTTTGACTTTTTTCTTTCTATTCTGGGGGTTATTGTGCCCATTTTACCATGTGTAATAATAATAATGAGGCTGTTTTCAAGTAGTTTTCACCAATTATCTGATAATGCTTTTTGTCAGTCTACCTAATGAGGGAGCATGAGGGACCTTGAAAACTTATCAGGGATGAAGTGATTAAAAACAAGTTTGTTTCCACTACTCTCTTCTCACGTATTTTTGAAAGTGAAATACACTTCCTACATGGCCCTGTAGAAATTGCAAGTATAAGGCTGTTTATCCAACATCCATAGACATAGGTCTTTTAAAAGTAGAATTAAACAGCTTCAGTGTAACGATATTTCACACTGACTTCAGAGCTCACAGTGAAGTTGTAGCTCAGCTTCAGTTTCTTCAGACATTTAGGGCAGTCTTTTATTTACTTATTTTTTTTGAGAAGTCTTTTGAAGATCAATTTAGAGTAATGATCTTGATTTTAAATTTCTTCCTATTCAGTAAATATGTGTTTCCATGTTCTTTCTTCATTGTGTGATTTAATTTTGCTTTGTGTCCTCAGGCAGTGATACATGGTGATCACCCAACATTGGAGGGCATTCTGGATCTTTGGTGATATTAAAGGCTGTATCAATTTCCTCAGGTTGCCATAACAAAGTATCACAAGGCAGCTAAGGATGAGCAGTTTCATTTTACAGTTCTGGAGCTCAGAGGTCCACTGTGAAGGTGCTGGCAAGGCCGTGCTTCCTCTGTAGGTTCTAGGGAGAATCATTTTTTGCTCCATCAAGTTCTCAGTGGTTTTTGGGTTTCCTTGGCTTGCATCAGTGTAATGTCAATTTTTTGCTTCTGTTGTCACAGGGCCTTCTTCCAGGTGCCTCTGTGTCCTTTTCTGTCTTTTCTAAGGACATTTTTAATGGATTCAGAACCCACCTAAACCCAGTGTGATCTCATATTGATTCTTTCCTTAATTATATGTGCAAAGACTCTATTTCCAAATAAGGTCACCTTCTGAGGTTCTGGGTAGACATGAATTTGGGAGGACATTATTCAATCTGTTTCAAAGGCCATTGAACTTCTTTAGGTGCTAAAGACAGAGTTCTTTTCCTGTCTGGGAGATGGTATTTCATAGTTGTGGGCTCAGCAGATGGCCCATTCATGCTTTCACCAGCCATGGAGCTTTTGCAGCAGTCAGGAAGCAGCTGAGGATGTAAAAGGCAAGGTCACCTGTGCCTGAGAAAGAGAGGTGGGAAACTAAAGTTGTTTGTAGCTGTCAAAGTTTTCTTGAACTTAATGTCCTTCTTAAAATTCAACAGAGGATAGCCTGGCCAGAAGGCTCAGCTGTTTGGAGCATTGTGCTGTACACCAAAAGATTGCTGTTTCAATCCCTAGTCAGGGCAAAAACCTAGGTTTTGGGTTCGATCCCCTGATTGGGACACCTTTGGAGGCATCTGATGTTTCTCTCTCACATGGATTTCTTTCTCTCTCTCTCAAAATCAGTAAGCATATCCTCAGGTGAGGATTAAAAAACAATACAAAAATTCAACAGAGGCATTCTAAGATTTGGGTGTTTTCACAAAACCTTTAACTTCTTTGCTCATTTGAAACATTTTTGTTTTCTGTTCTCCAGGGTGGCTCATTCTCTGTTTCTCTTTCTCTTGCTCTGGAGTAGAACACAATGAGTAAACTTGGCCTCAATCCTCCTGCTATTTGTTTCTCACCCTCCACTTCATTCTTTATCCTTGTTTTTACCACTCTCCTTCATTTCTTTCTTTTTTCATTCCCCTGTTTTACCTGTGACCAGATGTATTTCTCTCATACGACAGCAGAGGTGCGCAGACACTAGTGGATTCCAAACACACACGCATAGGTCTCTGTCTCTTAGGAGTTTGCACATTGCTGCGGCCTTTGTCTCGACACACCTTTGTCATTTTAGGCATTTAGCTTTAGGGAAGTGTTGATTTCAACTGTATTTACAAACTAGCTAACAGGCACTTATAGTTTACTTGTGTATACAAGCCCAGGAAGTACTCTCTGTATTTTGTAAATTCTGGTATATTAGGCGTTTTGCCTTTGTTCTGTTTCAGGGGTTGGGGGTTAGATGCTGGTCAATAATAATGAATGACAAACACAGAATGGCCTGTGCATATCGTGGGCAGTGTCAGCACCACACATTCCAGTGGAAACATCCGCCTTTGAAGTTCTTTTTCCATTCCTTTCATATTTCACTTGTTTCTGAGAAGCTGTACTGATAGCAATTATAATGAGAGTCATTTCAATGTGATGGATACATTCTCTTTTAATTTTCTGCTCTGGCTGCCACCTTGCCTATGCTGTGATTACTTTTCCTAGTTGCTACTTTTTACATTGCAAAAAACAATTTTTATATTCTATTTTAAAAAAATTTTTTATGTATTTATTTTTAGAGCAAGGGGAAGGGAAGGAGAAAGGAAACATCAGTGTGTGGTTGCCTCTTGTGCGCCCCCTACTGGGGGCCCAACTTGGCTTGCAGCCCAGGAGTGTGACCTGACTGGGAATGGAACCTGCGACCCTTTGATGCACAGGCTGGTGCTCAACACACTGAGCCACACCAGCCAGGGCCAATTTTTATATTATTTTTCCTTCTTTTTTCTATAGCTATATGAATACTGTAAAAGATTGATTTCATTCAGTACCTGACCCAGACAGTGACTAGAAAAAGAAAGTCCTGAGTTTCCTTACCTCTAGCTCAATTACACTTACCAGTTATTACAGAAAAATTACACTTGTGTTTTACTTTCATTTTAATTATTTTGTCTCTCTTGTCTCCAGTCTTTTTTCACTCCTTTGAGGCATCTATTTTTTTTTGATGTTCATTCAAGGGAAGCTGAGAGGAGGTGAACTGGATTTACTACCATGTATTTGAATATATTAGATTGATCATGTGTCAGTGAGATGTATTACAAAATTTGCATTTCCCAAGTTTCCTTATGTTATTTTCCAAATTTGCTTATATTATAGCATATAACTCTCACCCAATTTATAAAAATACAGTGATGTGTAACTGAAATTGCTAAGTCCTGGCAGACTTAGAGCAGTAACTAAGCAGGAGGTGAGGGGCAGTCAGCTTGCCCCATGAGTTATGCGCTGCACATGTGACTAACTCTCTGGAGGTGCCACAGACCCTTGGGGACTTTGTAAAACATTAGAAACCTACAAAGGTTGCACCTGAAAATGTCAAGGGGCTTGGGATTTTCTCAAATGTTTTTCAGGAAGGCTCTCTAAGTACTGCTAATGGTAGAGGGGGTAAACCAGTGTTTCCAGTAATAAATTTTCTGTTTCTTTCACCTAAGAGTGGAGGCGGGGTCCCCCAGTACATCATTATCTCAACTTAGAACCTGTTTTCAGGAATTGCAACTTATCTGTGAGTGGTTCTTGTGCTTATCTTACTTGATCAGATTTTTAAAATCCTTGTAGGTAAAGAATGTATGTTTCATTCCCAAGGGAATTTTAAGTTTAGGCAACACAGGAATTGTCATTTAGAAACTTTTCTTTCCCAAACTAGTTCTTATTTTATACTACATTTGACTTTGAACTTTCTGGCTATGAGAAATTTATGCTTATAATGAATAGAATAATTTTATTAGGGTGGGCACATTGTAAATGATATCTCAAAGATTGCTGTTCATGTAGGAAATATGAAGTCTTGAGAAATCATTAGAACAAACTTAGGAGTGTTCCTCATTCCTTCCTCCCCCCATATGGCCACCTCTTTTCTCTTTATGGCAAAGGTCATTTAAGAATGAGAGTAAGTTTTGAATACAATGGCAGTGGACAGGGGGATGAGAGAGAATAAAATAATAAGCCTCGATAATAGCTTACAAATATTGACAAGTTCTCTTTTTGAGAACTTAATTTCCCGTGTCTCCCATTTTCCTGGTGGGGAAAATGCAGCTTAAAGAGACAAACTGACTTGCTAGTGAGTTGGCAAAAGAGGGATTAAGTCTAGGCTTGTCTCATTCCAATGCCCACATGCATAACTACCAGCTTCATGGTCTTGCAGGAAAACAATACGTAAAGGAACAACTAGGGAAGAGAGAAAACAAAGAAGGTGGGAGGAAGAGAGGCACAATGAGTGGCCCAGAATCTCAGGAGTGCTGACCCAGCACCCCGTATGTGTGGAATGGGTCTCCCACATTGAAGGCATCTGAAGTGACTGTGGGAGCTTATAAGCATGGAGTTTATAAGAATATTCTAGGCTTAAGATCATTGACATGAGAGTTGAATAGTTTAACACCTTTGTGCAGGTATGAGAAGGTAAAAGTGTTGGAGAAAGTTATAAAAACAGGAGAGGGAAGATTACCCTCTGGTCATTGACTCCCTAGAAGGACCAAGATGGACTTCAGACGTTCCTTCAGCTTCTTGAACTGAGGCCAGTTTTTATGCATTTTCCCTTGTCCCTCCAGGGCCAGTTAGTGCGGACTTTTAAAGAACATTGGACTTTTGTCAGATACACATGGATTGTTAATTTTAGTTGGGTGTGGTTATGCTAACTTTTTCAATCTCAGTTTGCTGGACTCCAACAAAAATGTTCTAAGAATTTTCATCTTCCTTCATAGGCCTGCTGTGAAACTGTGAAAGTGCTTTAAAAAGTGTATTTCGCTAAACAAACACTATTTACACGAGCTCACAATTTTTTTTTCCGGAAATACATTTATTTAGCGTGTAAGAACCAGGCTATTTTCATCTCTCTCTGTGTCTCTGCCTGTCCTCTGCTACGGACAGTTACGAGCTTGGTCAATAACTGTCCTGGGAGGACGTGATGCCAGCAGCTAAGGACGCAGGTCAGCGATAGAAAAGGCAGAGGATTTTCGGGGAGGAGCAGGGGCCTGGCATGACCTAGTACCTGGTAGCGCAGCCGATTGGCGGAGGAGAAGGTTGTTCCCTCAGGGTGGCCGCTGATTGGCTGCGGGAGGAGGAGGACTGACGTCCACAGAAGTTGAGCAAACACCTCCTCCCTCCCAGCTCCCATCCCAATTCCTGCTGAGAAGGGCCTAACCTCCTGAGACCAGGGAGCTGGGAGACGGTGGGGACCGGTGGGCGCCACAGAGGACGAGGTGAGAAGGGGCTCCTGGAGGGGCTGAGCAGAGTGCAGCGGTTTCAGCAGAGGAGATGCACTTGGAGATCGCGGGCGGGACTCGGGTCTCGCTCCCAGCCCCGCTCCCAGCCCCCTGGGGACCCTGTGGAACTGGCCCCCGCCCCTCCCCCCCACGCCCAGGTACCCACCCCTTCCCTGCCGCTGCCCGGGAGAGCTAGGGAGAGAGGTTGGTGAGCGTTAGGTCCTCCCTCTCAGGCTTCCCCTCCTAGCAAGGGAGGGCAGCCAGCCTGGCTCCAAAATTTCTGAGTGGGAAGGGGGAGGGATGCAGTTAGGATTTCTTTCTTTCTTTTTTCTTTTCTATTTTTTTTTTTTTTTGAGGGGAAGAGATTGCGCTTGCCGAGTAAAATACTGGTGTTGAAGCTGCAGAGCTAAGAGCCTGCTGTATCTTGGACTGTATGGCTATCTTTAGATTGGCTGACTTGCCGGGGTGGGTAGTGGAGATTGTGGGGGGCACCGCCCACTCTGCCGCTTTCCTTCTGTGCGGTTGTTTTCCCGCTGGCATTTCCAGCTCTGGCCTTCTTAGACAAACTCTGATCACAAACTTCTCACTCTGACAATCTCGGGCTGGCCATTCTCTTGTTGGACACGGAGTGCCCCGCCCCCGCCCGGTCCCTGCCCAGCAAACTGCTACTCTGTGCCCACACTCCAACAGAGACAGGAGGTGCGAGGAAGTTGGGTACCTTGGATCTCAGCGTCTCTGAACTCCTGAGATGCTGCAGGGGCTGTGCGGGCCAGGGTCTAAGAGAGACGCTGGGCGAGTGGGTGCGGGTAAAAGCAGCTGTTTACCTGTTCTGCTTGACTGAACAGGGCTAAAGTGCCCTGACAACTTTCGGAAGACATGGGATTTTCAGACACTGATTGCAGGGCAGTGGAAGTGGGGTGGGGGCTTGGAGAAAGGGAGGGTGAGAGAGTTCATTAACCTGAACAAAGGTGAGCATTTTTTGATATGGTGGATCATCAGTTATCCGAAAGCGGAGCTGGAGCTGCGATTATGCCGATGCAACTAGTTACACAGGAGGAGATCGCTGACTCAGGCGGTGGCTTTCATGTACTTTATTTTTTAAAAAACCAAACCACTGATAGCACTTTGTGTCGAAGTGTTTATGTCTCTGCGAGTGTGTTTACTTTGATTTTGTCACTGTACTTTTCTTCCTCTCTGTTCTCCATAAAGACTCCAGTGAACCTAGGGCTTCAGGGCCTGGCGCTGTAAACTGGTGGCCTTTCTGCCAAGTGAGTTGGGAGGACAAAGGTTTAAACCAACTTTCCTTAGTCAATTTTCCATTCTCCAAAACTTGTATTTGTTACCAATCTCACTTGTCATTGGTGACAGCATCATCAGAACTTTAATTTGAATGATTTACAATTGAAAATTTCCACCTTAACTAGCTAATCTTTTATTTAAGCCTTAACAGACCTTGGCTTAGTATTTTGGGAGAGATCTTTCTGTGTTTAGGCAGTGTCCATTTAACAAAAATGTTTCCACTTTTACAAGTATTCCTGATTAATTTTTTTCATAGAAATAATACTATAAACAGGGGCAAGTTTCCCTTGTGAGGCCACAACAAATTCCTGAAATTCATGGAATCACAGAAACACTGTGAATTCTGAATGGGAAGTAACCAACAACATTGTTACCATATTAATCTCAGATGCCATTTTTTAAGATACATCCCTCTTTCAGAGATGCTAAAATGTAAAAAAAAAGTGTCTTAAATCTGGTGAAAGACACTATTGAAAGACAGTATTAAAATGGCAAGCTGTTTATCTTGAATGCCCCTGCCTAATGAGTGAAGTTGAAGAGAGGCCTTACTGGGCTCACCTCTCTTTTTTTTTGGATGTAAGACTGGGAAGTTGTAAGGGCCACGGTAAAGGCCTCACACAATGTGGGAAAGAGGAAGGAAGACAGTGTTTTCTGTTAGTGGTGTGGCTGTGCTCATCTTTGTGGAGTGGGCAGGCTCAGAGACTTTGTTTCTTAACATTTACTGAGTGCTTACGACATGTAAGGCAGTGCTCAGCACTTTTTGTGTATTAGCGCAAATAAACTTCACAACACACCCAACTCCATTTTGCAGATAAAATACAGGCAGGTTATGCACCAAAGTCACAATCTAAGTGGAGCTCAGGAGCCCAGGCCATCTGTGGGGGTGAGGAGTCATGTTCCTTTTAGGTGTCCTTACTGTTGTGAGCTGTGGGCTCCCCAGTAGCCAGAGTTAATACAAGTAACCTCTGTGAATGCTCTGTCTCCCTAGTCTTTTTAGTATTTTTGTTTCCTTCTTTAGTATGTTTTAGCTGTATCTTCATGAGTCAGAGTGCCTACTTATGTTCTAAAATTCTAATGATTTTGTAATCCACAGTGCCCAGGCACTAATATGCTTAATAGAATATTAGAGCTGAAGAGGACTTTAGTATTATATTGTAGTCTGGATGAAGAAACTGAGGTCAAGAGAAGAAACCCTACAACTACTTAGTTTCAGCTCCCAGGTCTGGATTTTTCTACCACATTATAGTGCATTTCATAACACTTATTGGTCTATGAGATCTTGGCAGGGAATAGACATTTTTGTTGGATGTTGTGGCAGAGTGGGAGTGAGGAGGGGAGCTATGAGCCCCTGTTTGGTGTGTCTATTTTGTTCTCTGCTGCATAGGTCTTTATGATGTTCACTTAAAATTGCTCATTTATTCATTCATTATTTTTTGAAGCCTTTCCGTTCTCCTATGCGTCATTCACAATGATGAATAAAATACAATTTATTCCCTCAGAGCATTTGCAGTTTAGCAAAGAGACAGACAAATAAGCAGATAAACATTTTGGATTAGCCTCCACTTCAGGGCTAACTTCGCATTCCATCTCAGTGAAACAAAATCTGTGGGCTAGAGACTAGGGGAATCGTGGGTCTCATATCTGTGGATGATGTGCGTAGCTGATGATGGACTTGAGAACATATGAATATTCTTACCAGATTAGCTAATATCAATAGAGTCCACCCACCCAAGTCTACATGGCTTTTGTTTATGTTTTTGGTTTTTTTTTTTTTACACTTCTAGGTGACTAAAAGGGTTTTAATGTGGAAACATTAAAGGATGTACCTATGCAAGCAACAAGAAGTACAAGTATGGAGAATGGTGTTACTGCATGCCCAAGACTAGTTCTAGCAAGCCTTGGGGTTGGGAGGTATTTGGATTAGTTCTAGTCCATCATCAGGTGTTCCATCAATTTGTAACTATTTTGGAGCTCCCCCAAAGATCCGGGATTATTGTGGTTGGGATAACAAATACTATGTAGTGTGGCCCGAGACTCATGCTCAGGGAGCTGTTCTCATCTACAGTCCCAGGACTGCCTGGGAAACCGTGGTTTTAAAAATATGCTTGCAGTTTTAGAATGAACTGGAAGGGTAGGTATGAATTGTTTGCATTTCTCGTCCATTACCTTATTTTGTTCAGCTCAAGGCTATTCCACCCTTTGTCTCTCAATATTTAATCAACACGTGTGCCTGATTAGTACAAATAAAAAGCACTGAGAAATCTCCACCTGTGATTTAATAGTTTTAGTTTGAATCACTGAATTATGTTCTAGTGGCATTATTTTACAGATCTAAAATATAAGGACAAAAAGCATATCTCTGACTATGGGGGCTAGAGATGGAAGATTTGGATTTAGTTTGTTAATAAGAAATTTGTAAGCCTTTATACATGTCCCACTAGAAAGAACAGAAATTAGGAGACCTTTTTTTTTATGCTTAAGTCCTTGTATTTGCTTAAAAATTGTTGTGGTTTATGTAGGTGGTTTCTGAGTTTTAAAAGTTTTTTGATTTGGTTAATGGTATAGAAAGGATTGAAGAGACTTAAGAGATTTTTGAATACTGGATGAAAGGATAAAAAACTTTGTGTAGAGGTCAGTTCTATTAATCTACCTACCACTCTCACTCAAGAAAACAAGCACAAATCAAATACATTGTCTTATGGCATAAGCAAATAAATGTAAACCTATCCAGTTACATTTAAAAGTTATGCTTACCAGAATTGTAGACTGTTTGTATTATGATTCATCCATAGAGGTTTGGAAAGTGATTGTTATAAACCATAGAAAATCCCTTATTTCTACGGCCCTCACTCCCTTCATTTGCAGTATCAGTTTTAGATGACCTTCTCTCAGGGTCATTCTGACTCTAATATTCAGTTATAATCAGTAATTGGTAATTCATCACCTGATTTTGATGGACCACTTAATTAGATGAAATAGTCACATCCTGCCCCTGTTGGATCCCATGAGAGTGAGTGGAAACTGGATTTCTGTTTCCTTATAGGAACCCCCAAATTGCTGTGCACATCTTAAGTATCCCCCACATTTTTTGATTAAAGAAATAAATCAAAACACCTCTTCTGTAATCAATAGGCAAAAGATAACTCCATCAGGAGAATTTTACTATATTAATATACATAATTGTACAAAGACCAGTCTGCTCATCATGGAAAAGGGTCTTCCCAAATACATGTGGGGTCCTCTGCCTGTGAATGCGACATTTCTTCAGATAGAACCTTTTATAAATAAACCTCACAAAATTTCCTTTGTTTCCTTCTTGTGATTTAGGGTGATGATATGCTCAGTGACCGTGGTTTATTCATGGCTACTAAAAGAAAATGGTGGGATGTGTATGGAGTGCTAAACTCTATCTGTCACCTACCTATCATCTATCTACCAATTATCTATCTATCTATGTATCTAATTATCATCTATCTATCAGTCATCTATCATTTCTATCCCTAATCACCATTTTCCTTCTCGTTTCTCTGGAAAAGGATAGAAAGTACCAAGAATATATAAGCATGTTCTCCTTGCTTGGCCTGATTCTCATGTGTACATTGCAAAGCTATATAATTTGTAAATGAAAAGAAATTCTTAAGTCTTCCTCCCACTGAGAGATGGAAAGAGGAGCTTGGCGACATCATATCCTACGTTCTATTGCTAGAGTCCATCCACTCTGGTAGCAGAGTGTGTTCCTGTCTCACAGGGCAGAGTCTGTGTGATTAATTCGCTGTGCTACTCCCATGGCTTTTAGAGTCATTTCAAATTCCTGATCAATCCTAGGGAAGTAAAATGTGTACCTTAGTGCTCTTCCTGTTTTACAAAACATAGGGGAGAATCTTTTAAACTTTATTTTTATACTATACAAAACGCTTGCCCTTCCTGTGTTGAAGGAAAGACTTTAGCAGTTGTAAGAAGGATATTAATCTCCTCCCCTGACTAGGTGACATTTCTCTTTCTCCTCCTTATTCCTCTTTTTCTCTGCCTTCTCCTTATTCTCCACGGTTCTTTCTTTTTCTTCTCTTCTCCTCCTCTTGCTTTTCCACATCCTCCTTGCCTATCGTACAGGCTGTCATCATCCCCTGGCACTGTCAAGTGACCTCACTGGAGCCAGTGGTGAGCCAGGAGTCTTCCTGCTTTGTTTCACTGAAGGCATTGCCAGAAGTAAACATTATGTTTACTTCCTGATATTCTTTGGAAAACCCACGAAATCTAGCACAGGGAAATCCAGAACAGCCCACTTGGGAATTTCTGTGAAACACTAGAGACCCACAGTGCCCTACCTAAAAGCAATTAAGAAATCCGGATTGTTAGATGTTTTCTGATGACGTTAGAATAAAGTGAATGGTAGTCCTGGAAAGTTCTATGCTGAGACCAAGTTTCAGGTTCAAGTACTTACAAATACAGTAATACATGCTATAAGCAAATCTTTTTTTCCTAAGCTCTCAGAAACTTAGACTTTTCCTTGGCAAAGGAAGTGTTTTTGGTGGCACATGGGAAAGAGGTGGATGGAGGCAGCCGGTCTGGGGGGAGAACTGGTCATTTACTGTAACTATTAAAGCCAATGCCATAAGGATCTGACTGATTCCTGAAACACGATGGAAGCAGGAACAACAGGGTCAGATCTACACAGTGTGCATCTGCAGGCTTTGGAAAAGAAGAGAAAATCCCGAGTGTTAAATGTTAACCTAGGAATCCTGCTTCTGCTAAAAAGCAGCAAGCAGCTCTACTTGGATTCCAGTTCAGTTTCTTCACCTGTAAAATGGAGATAACATCTACTTAATAAGATTTTTGCAGGAAAAAAATGAAGTATCATCTGTAAGGCATATTATGTGTAATCAATGGTAACTGTTGTTCCATTTGTTTAAAAACAAAGTTACAGGATATATGATTTGGGAATTCCCCACAACAAGTGAAAGTGAAAGCAGCTTCTCTAATAAACTCCAAGGGGTCACAATGCTGCTTTCTTTTCTGAGTCCCCACAGAAAACTTGCCTTTGCAAATACCTATGTGTGTATTACCAGTCTGTGAGTCTGTGTCTGTCCTCCCATACCACACTCCCCACCCCAGACCGGGGAGGTAGGAGGAGGCGGTGGATGGTCACTGTGGGAGGGGTGGCTGGGATCACAAATCAAGTTGGGCTGAGGGGAGAGGCTGTATTATCTGAACATGTTCCCTCATGTTAGCCCCAAGAATTGCTACAAAGAACAGAGGATGTCCTTCTCTATGAAATGCAGCCTCTGCTGGGAGGATGGGACCATTTCTGGACTTATCTATATGTTCAGAAGAATGTCTTCAGAATTGGTTTTATTTGAGAATATAGGGGTTCAAGTGCTAAGGGATGCTACGGTTTTTTCTTTGGCTTGAGTTTTGGGCCTAACGTTGTCTGTTTAAAAATGAAAGTATTTAAATAAATTAAACATTAAATAGAATACACAACAGTCTTTTATTGAAATGTTGATCATCGATATGGCTCCAACCATCCGTGTGTTCAGTTGTGGTGTGCGGCCCTTTCTCCTCGTGCCCCCCTCCTTCCTGAGGCCTTCTTAGAGGGACTCCTTGCTATTCAGTATGTTTTGTTGTGAATTGCCATTTAAGTTTTCTGTCTCAGGTGGCAAGGACCTGTGTGCCCCAGGTTTGGACAAACCTTCCCCATCTATGTGGTAGGTCTGATGCAGAGGTTGCAGTCTGATATAACAGAAATGCATTCCATACAAATTTTGATAAATGCTAGCATAGTTGGTTGAGCATTTCTGAAAGGTATGAAATCATTTAGTCCCTATATTTTGATGCCAACCTTAAACATAAAAAACTAAGGTTTATCATCCAAATGATATAGCAAATTATAATCTGAAATGACATTTGGCTTCTAAATCTACTTAGCCATATGAAGAAGGATACTGTTTGATATTTATGCTTTAAAAATTTGTATACAATTTACAGTGAGCCTCTCATCCACATTTAATAATTCAATAAATGAGTGGAATTTTGCAATCTGGAATAGCAGTTAGAAAGCTGGCTGAGACAGGTCCTGGTTTAATGTAACAGGAAGATGCGTTAGGGACAGGAAACGCTGGGAAAGGGAACAGCATGTTTAAAGTAACAAAAGTTCAGGGAGGGTGAGGGTGGGACATATGAAGGAACTTGTGTGTTTGTTTTGTTTTCTTAACTTTCCAGTCTGTCAGAACCAACACTTTCATACAATCCAATAACAATGAATTACTAGAAATGTCATCATGTGATATAAAGGCCTCTAAGTGCTAACTTTCTATTTCTGTACACGTCTCATCATGGACCAGTGAAAAGCAGTTTGCCGACAGACAGCAGGCTGCCCAACACTATGGGTAGCACTTGTAAGGAATGGTCAGAGATGAAACTCCAAAGAGGTCGGAGCTAGATTGTCAAGAATCTTGTACATGTTTAAAGAATTCCAAACTTTATGCTCTCAAAATTAGCATAAATTATCTCATTGAATTTATTTGCATAGCAGGTTAACATGCTTAAAACATTTTTGCTGAATAGTTGCTTGATAAAACATATATTTAAAAATCTATTCTGGCTTCTCCTATATGGGTTAGTGTCCCATAAGTTGTTCAATACAGTTTATATTTTAGAAATAAATAACCTGGTTTGTGGAAAATTGGGTTTGTTTGGGTAAAGGAACCCATTTTATCATCCAGGTTTCCCCATTCTCTTTTCTCTGTCTTGTACCTGTTATCATCTGAGATGGCTGGATTTTACAGCAGATTTCTTAGGACACCAGAACTGTTCTGTGAGCCCACCTGCCTTTTGTTGTCCTGTGCCCTTATGATGTCATTGCAGTCACCAGGTTTCAAGATGCTGCGCGTACATAGGACCAAACTGGGCAGGCTGGGGCTCAGCCTCTCCAGAGGGCTTCACCACAAGCCGGTGATGGCCGTGAGGCGGGAGGATGTGAACGCCTGGGAGAGGAGGGCACCTCTGGCTCCCCGGCACATCAAAGGGATCACCAACCTGGGTTACAAGGTCTTAATACAGCCTTCCAATCGGCGGGCCATTCACGACAAGGTAAATATTTCCAATTTCTTAAGTATGTGGGAATAAAATGACCCTGTAAATGAAAGCTACAAAGCATCTCTGTGAAAAGAAAATGTTTGCTAATGTCACTGAAATACCACATGGCAATATTCCTTTACTTTGGTTATAATGAGATTGCTAAATTAGAATCGTGGAGTCCAGAATTCAGCCAGTAAGTATTATTTTTATTCCATTTCATGCTTTCTCTAGCTGGAAGATAGAGGGATTGTTTTTAATTTTAAAACTTTTTTAGCTCTTTCTTGTTTAAATAATTTTTTGTTGAATTTATTTGTGTGACATTGCTTAATAAAATTATATAGGTTTCATGTGTACAGTTCTATAATACATCATCTGTATATTATATTGTGTTTTCATCACCCAAAGTCAAGTCTCCTTACATCACCATTTATCTCCCCATACCCTCTTCTACATCCCACCTACCACACTTGCCCTCTTGTAATCACCATACTCCTTCTGTGTCTATGAGATTTTATGCTTTAATCCCTTCACCTTTTTCACCCAGCCCTCTGCCCTCTCCCCTTTAACAACTGTCAGTCTCTTCTCTGTATCCATGAGTCTGTTTCTATTTTGTTTGTTAGTTTATTTTGTTCATTAGATTCCACATATAAGTAAAATCATATAGTACTGGCCTTTCTCTGACTGGCTTATTCACTTAGCATAATACTTTCCAGGGCCATCTGTGTTGTTGCAAAAAGTAAGATTTTCTTCTTCCTTATGGTGTAGTAGTATTCCATTGTGTAAATACGCCATGGCTTTTTTATCCACTCATCTACAGATGGGCACATGGACTGCTTCCAAATCTTGGCTATTATAAATAACTCTGCAACGAACATGGCTGTGCATATATTGTTTCAAATTAGTGCTTCAGGTTTCTTTGGATATATTACCAGAAGTGGAATCATTGGGTCATAAGGCAGTTTTTTTTAAATTTTTTGAGGAACCTTCCTACTGTTTTCCACAGTGGCTGCACCAATCTGCATTCCCACCAATAGTGCAGAAATGTTCCCTTTACTCCATGTCCTTGCCAACACTTATTCTTTGCTGATTTGTTTATTTTTAGTAGTTTATTTTTATTATATTTTTCCATTATCATTTATCCCCCTCATACCTGCTCCACCTCTACCCGTACCCCTCCCCCGACATATTAATTTATTGATGATAATTATTCTGAGAGGTGTAAGTTGATATCTCATTGTGGTTTTAATTTGTATTTCTCTAATCTTTAGTGACATTGGGGATCTTTGCGTATGTCTATTGGCCATCTGTAGATTATCTTTGGAGAAGTGTCTATTCCAGTCCTTTTCCCATTTTTAAATTGAATTCTTTGTTTTCTCAGTGTTGAGTTGTATAAAGTCTTTATATGTTTTGGAAATGAACTCCTTATCAGATGTATTATTGGCTTCTATTTTCTCCCATTGAGTGGGTATGTTCTCCCATTGAGTGGGTTATCTTTTCATTTTATTGATGGATTCCTTTGCTGTGCAGAACTTTTTAGTTTGATGTAATCCCATTTATTTTTTATGTTTCCCTCGCCTGAGAAGACATATCAGAAAAAAATATTGCTATGAGAAGTGTCTGACATTTTACTGCCTATGTTTTCTAAGATATTTATGGTTTTAAGTCACATTTAAGTTTTTAATCCACTTCAAGTTTATTCTTGTGTATGGTGAAAGGTGATTTAATTTCATTTTTTTGCATGTTATTGGTCCAATATTTTTAATAAAAAGATTTTATTTATTTATTTATTTTTACAGAGGGTAAGGGAGGGAGAAAGAGAGGGAAACATCAATGTGTGGTTGATGCTTGACCATGCTCTCTACTGGGGACCTGCCCCACAACCCAGGCATGTGCCCTGACTGGGAATTGAACTGGTGACCCTTTGGTTTGCAGGTCAGCACTCAGTCCACTGAATGATACCAGCCAGGGTTATGTCCAATTTTCTAAAAGCCATTTATTGAATAGACTATCTTCAACTCACTGTGTGTTCTTGCCTCATTTGTTGAATATTAATTGACCATAAATGCATAGGTTTATTTCTGGGCTCTTTATTCTGTTCCATTGATCTGTATGTCTGAGTTTATGCCAGTACCATGGTGTTTTGCTTACTGTGTCCTTGTAGTATAGTCTGATATCAGGTAGTGTGATTCCTCCAACTTTGTTCTTTTTTTCTCAAGATGGCTGTAGCTCTTCAGGGTCTTTTGCGGTTCCATATACATTTTTGGAACATTTGTCCTAGTTCTGTGAAATTGGTGTCTTGATAAGAATTGTGTTGAACTGCAAATTGTTTTGGGTACCATGGACATTTTAATAATGTTAATCCTTTCATTCCGTGAACACAGTATATGCTTCCACTTATTTGTATCTTCTTCAATTTCTTTCTTCAGTGTTTTATAATTTTTTGAGTATAAGTCTTTTTTATTTCAATGTTGAGGGATTGTTTTTAGAAGGAGGTAATATCTTTTAGTCATTCTCTCCTTTCCTTCATGGTGGGACCTCCTTATGGGAGTGGGGGACAAGGCCAATAAGACACTACTATGTTTTGTCTCATGAAACATCCCTCAAGGAAATGCTTCATTAAATAGAGGTTGTTCATGGGAGTTTGCCTTGCCATCCATGGTGGGATGAGCTTTACATTTATCATTCCTTTTATTCTTCACGATAATCTTATAGGTTTGACTCTTATTTTTATTTTAAAGATATATATATATACACTTTTTCCCTGGACCATTTGAAAATATGTGGCAGACATCATAGCATTTTACTACAAAATGCTCAGTATGCATTTCATTATCATTTTTCTGAATAGCCATCATATAATTTTCTCACCTAAGAAATTATTTCATGATATCATCTCACATAGTCCACTTCACATTCCCCATTTGTCCCAAATGGCTTTTATGGTCTTTTATTTTAACTGAGGCTTAATTAAGCTTTCTTTAATTTACCTTTATGTCTTTGTAGTTCTTTTAATCAAAAACAGGACCCTCCCCTTTTGATTTTTGTTTGTTTCAATGACAGTAACACTTTGGGAACATTGCAGGCCAAGTGACTTGTAGGATGTTCCACTTCTGGGTATAACTAGTTTGTTTTTTTTTACCTTGTGATAGTTAAGTTTGTATACTTGTGACATAAATATTTCATAAGTGACATATATTCTTTCCATTGTATAACATCAAAACCACACAAAAAAACACAGTTATCACATGGTGAGGAATGTATGATCACTTGGCTGAGGTGATTACTATCAGGTCTCTCCCTTGCTAAAATACCATTCATTCTTTGTATTTACTGAGTCATCTGTGAGATGCTGTGTTGAGACATGTGAATTTTCTGTTGCTCAACAACCTTTCAATGAATGTTAGCATTCATTGATAATTTTTATCTGAATTAATTTTTCCACGGAGGCTAGCAATATGATAATTTTGTTTATCTTTTCAAAAAAAATTATTGTAGTTCTTCCATTACCATTTATCCTTTATATCCCCTCTTCCACCTCCACCTATCCCTTATCCCCCACAGTCACCACACTCTTGCCCATGTCCATGAGTTCTTTCTCTTTCCTTTCTTTTTTTTTGCTTGATCCCTCCATACCAACCTCCTTCCCCCACAGTCCTGCCCCAGCTCTCAGCTCCATGCTCTATCTATCAGTCTGTCTCTATCTTGCTTGTTCGTTCATTTTGTGCATTAGATTTCACATATGAGTGAAATCATATTTTAATTTTCTTTGGCTTATTTCATTTAGCATAATGTTCTCCAGGTACTTCTATACTGTTGCAAAGGGTAATATTATCTCCTCCTCCTTCTTCCTTCTTCCTTTTTTTTAGGCCAATATCTCTGATGAACATAGATGCTAAAACCCTCAACAAAATATAATAAATCAGATCCAGTAATACATTAAAAAGATCATACACTATGGTCAAGTGGGATTTATTCTGGGGATGCAAAGTTGGTACAATATTTGCAAATCAATAAATGTGATACATTAAATAATCAAAAAGATAAAAATTAAATGATAATAACAATAGATGAAGAAAAAGCATTTGATAAAATCCAGCACCCATTTATGGTAAAAATTCTCATCAAAGTGAGACTCAAAGGGTCATACCTCAACATAATAAAGGCCACATTTGACAAATCTAAAGCCAACATCTCACTCAATAGGCAAACACTAAAAGTGTTTTCCTTAAGATCAGGAGCGAGGCAGTGATGTCTGCTTTCACCTCTCATATTCAATGTAGCACTGGAAGTGTTAGCCACAGTGATCAGACAAGAAGAAATAAAAGGCATCGAAATTGGAAAGGAGGAAGTGAAGCTGTCATTATTATCAGATGACATGATATGGGATGTAAAAAACCCTAAGACTCCACCAATAAACTACTAGATTTAATGAATATATTTGGATAAGTAGCAAGATAAAAAATTAATATCAAGAAATTGGTGGCACTTTTATAAACCAATAATGAACTCTCAGAAAGAGAAACTAAAAAAAAATCCCATTTACCATTTCAACAACAACAAAAAATAAGGTACTTAGGAATAAACTTAACTAGGAAGGTAAGAGGCCTGTACTCAGCAAACTGTAGGACATTGAAGAAACAAATAAAGAAATACAAACAAGTGGATGCATATACTGTATTCATGGTTGGAAAAATTAATGTTGTTAAAAATGTCCACACTACCCAAAGCAATCTATAGGTTCAATTCAATTTCTATTAAAATAGCAGTGGCATATTTCACAGATCTAGAACAAATATTGTAAAAATTTATATGGAACCAAAAAAGATCCTGAATAGCCTCAGCAATCTTGAGAAAGAAGAACAAAGTAGGAGGGATCACAATACTGAATATATAACTAATATACGCAAAGCCATTGTAAACAAAACAGCCTGGTGCTGGCATTAAGAGCAGTCATATCAATCAATGGCACAGAATGAATGCCCAGAAATCAGCCCATGCCTATATGGTCAATTAATATTTGACAAAGGAGACAAGAGCATACAATGAAGTAAAATCAGTCCCTTCAATAAATGATGTTAGGAGAATGGGACAGGTATATGTAAAAAAATAAGACTAGACTAATTGTTTTAAAAAAATAATAGACCACTTGGCTATTATTTACAATAGCTAAGATCTGGAAACAGCCCAAGTGCCCATCAGTAGATGAGAGGATTAAGATGTGGCACATTTACACAATGAAATAGTACGTGACTGTCAAAAAGGAGGAACTTTTATTCTTTGGGACAATATGGATGGACTCAACATTATGTTGAGTGAAATAAGCCAGTCACAGAAAGACAAATACCATATGATCTCACTTTTATGTGGAATTTAATGAACAAAATAAACTGATGAACAAAACAGGTAGGCCCTGAGTTATGGGTACATCAAATACACTGACAGATCTCAGAGGGGAGGGTGGTGAAGGGACTGGAAGAGATTAGCCAAAGAGCTTATGTGCATAGCCTATGGAGAGAAAACAATGTGACAAAGGCTGGGGTTGGCATGGTGGGTGTGGGGACTGGGTGGGAAGGGGGAAAAGGGGAACATGGCAGACATCTGTAATAGTGTCAACAATAAACATTAAAATAAATAAAGTAAAATATTTACTTCACAGTTATATTTAAATCATATGTGTGCCAGTGGTTATGATCAAACTACTAATTGTTCTTAAATAGGAGTATGTGCTGAATTTTCTAAGTTTTTTGCTATAAAAGTCAAACATATTAAATTGATATATTGCTAATAAATAAAAATATATGTAGTTATTCTATTATTTGTATTTGATCATAAAGATTTTATTCCTTCAAAAAATTGTGGCCTTAATTGCTGTACATTTTACTTATTAAAAATATGAATACAACAAACGAAGGGATAACTTTTAACCAAAATTACATTCCCAGGAATATGTCAAGGCTGGTGGCATCCTTCAGGAGGATATTTCTGAAGCTTGTCTAATTTTGGGAGTTAAAAGACCCGCAGAGGATAAATTAATGTCCAAGAAGACTTATGCATTCTTCTCCCACACAATAAAAGCTCAGGAGGCCAATATGGGCTTATTGGATGAGAGTCTAAGACAGGTAACTGGTGACTAACACTTATTTTTTTACTTTTCATTATTGAGTAGAGTTTTAGTTTTCTTTCAGCATCTAGGAAATGTGTCATGTTTTTCACAATAGGAAAAGTAATCTGTGGGTTAGTGCTTGAATAGTTCTGCTGCTCTTAAGGCTCCTCTGCTGCACTAGTTTGGAGTTTGTTATGAGAAATCAAACATTTTATTTTTTATTGTAAAATGGAAAGAATAATAGAAGTGTTCTCCCAAATGATTCATTATTTATAAGGCCAATTGGTTAGATATTAGCAAGTAGAATTTTTGAGCTGAAAAGAACCTCAGGGATCATCTAGTCCACCACCCTAATTTTTCAGATGGAGCCCAGAGAAGTAAAATGACTTGACTGAGGAGGCACAGCTCTGCAGTGCCAGAACTGGAATGGAGACCATTTTTACTTTTATTAACATTGTAAGGGAAAAAATAATTTTTGAGATGTGAATATTATTGAAAAAACTATTGGCTATTTAAAATACAGAGTTTTCATCCAACCAATATTTACTGAGTACCTACAATGTGTCCAACACTGTTCTTTGCAATGACAATAAAATAACCCTGTCTTTGGGAACTTATATTCTAATGGGATGAGACAGATGATAAATAAATGACTCTTCATATGTCACTCAGTGATATGTGTAATGGAGATAAACAGGATACAGAAGGAGAAAAGGAGTGCTGGGTACTGAAGAGAGGTGGCAATGCCAGTTTAAATAGGATAATCCAGAGAGTCTTATTGTGAAGTTGGCATCGAGCAAACATTTGAAGGAGATGAATAATCAAGTCTTATCCATCTGTGAAGTCTTGCAAGCAAAGAGAATGGTAATGGAAAGTCCTACAGGTCTTTCTGAGTGGAGGGTGAGAGTAAAGCTTGTTCTAAAATGCTTATTCTGCCTGCTCTGTGGAAGTGAAAGGTGGGAGGAGGAGAATGAAGCTGGTGAGAAGATTGCAAATCTAGACCAGTCAGGTTGCTAGGCTACAAACGATGGTGACTTGCATGAGGGTGGTGGAGTTTGTGATGCATGGGCAATTCCTGGATGTATTTTAGACATCTTACTTGGCAAGATTCCCTGGTGAAATGAATGTGGAATATGAGAGGGGTGGGGGAGAGAGAGAGAGAAAGAGAGAGAGAGATGACTTTGAGATTTTGGTCTGAGCAACTTTAAAGAGTTGCCATAGATTTAAGATTATGCTACCATGCAAGGGTCAGTCTTGGATGGAGGATTGAGAGTTGAGTTTAGGGACTGTCGTGTTTAATTTGTTTATGAGACATTTAAGCGTAGGTGCTATGTGGGTTGTTGGATATGAATTTGTAGCTCAGGAGGGCAGCTCCTTCTGATGCATATATTGTGGTTATCAGAGACTAGGAGGGAGGGGTGTCCAATCAGTGGCCTGGGACCAAATGCAATCCAGGATGGCTATGAATGCAGCCCAACACAAAATTGTAAATTTCCTTAAAACCTTTTGTTTCTCATCAGTTTTCATTAGTGTTTGTGTATTTAACATATGGCCTAAGACAGCTCTTCTTTCAGTGTGTCCCAGAGATGCCAAAAGGTTGGACACCCCTGGACTAGATGGAATCTAAAGCCTTGAGAGAGGATGTGGGTAGGAAGTGAGCATAGAGAAGTTCAAGGTCTAAGTCCTGGAGTAAGGATTTTACAGCATTAGAAACTAGACTAGAATCTGAAAAGATGCAGAGAACAGGAGAATTCACAAACAGTAAAAGCAATGGAAGCATTTTATAAGGTATATGAAACACATTTTTAGTAATTTGGAATATGTTAAATTTAGGCTGTAGTTAATTTGCACTGTTTCTGAAGAACAAATTCAAAAAGTAATTAATGGAAGTGATATTATAAGAAGAGTCTTTCACCTTAAGCAGATAAACTCCTTAAAAGGCACTTTAGAAACTTTTTTGTTATATAAATTTTCATCCATTACAAGAAAATTAATAAAAACAGACCCAGCAGGGCTTCTTTTTTTGGCAGCAGTTTGTAACCAATTACTTGAAGTTGGATGAATATTAAACATTCTTAAATTCATGAACATTATTAAATCATATGATCTTTGAGAAAATACAATGCCTGTTTCAAACATTCATAATTACAATGTATCAGTAGGTCTTAACGATGAATTAGTAAGATGTTTTTAAGAGAGGGAAGATTCCCAAGGAAATAGGAAGACTGTGATTTTAGTGCAGATGAGGAAGGAAAAAGCAGGCAGTCTGTACGACTTTTTAAATGAAGCTAATTGTGGAGGGGTGGCGAGAGAAAAGGAGAGGAGAAAGAAAGGGAGAGAGACTGAGATAGAGAGGGACAGAAAGAGGGAGACAGGGAGAGAGAGAATGAGAAATTTGTGTGTATGGACTTGGGAGGGAGTGGTGCTATTTTTTTAAGGTAGAGGAGACCTGGGTAAATGTCACTTAGAATGGCTGAGGGGAAGGAGCAGTACAGAGAGGGTGATGCAGGAAAGAGAAAAAGCTCAAGAGTGGTCTTGGAAGACATAGAAAAGAGCTGGCCTCTATTTAGCTCAAGGGCTTAGTTGCAGGAAGGACTTGTCTTCGTTGAGACTAGAAGTAAGCGAGGATAACCGAGGTTGTAGATATATTTGTAGATGGTGCTGGGCTAAAACTGAAAGGAAATCATGCCATTATTTGACTGACTACCACCAATGGGCATTTAGTACCCTGGTAGAACCATTCTTTCATCTCTAATCACAGCCCAATCATTGGCTTGTGACCTACCTTTTCTAAATGCTTCAGGGTGTACCTGATGGTAACTTATGTTGGCAAGTCAAGATATATTTTATAAGAGGAAAAAAGTGTGAAATGTTGACTTGCTCATATATGTGCTTTACTCATTGAAATTAAGTTTGATGTGACAGAAAAATTTTTTACTCTTTTGCCAGGGAATCAGACTTATTGATTATGAGAAAATGGTGGATCATAGAGGAACTCGGGTCGTGGCATTTGGACAATGGGCCGGTGTGGCAGGTAGGTGTACTGGGGCTTTTACGTAACCCACTTTGAAATCTGCCTTTGGTGTGACTGTGTGTTTTCTCTTTTCTGTAGCAAGGGGATGGGAGTGTTCACCTCCCATCAGTAAAAATAAACATGCAGGTGTGACTAAGGGTGATGAATATCTGAGGCTAGAATAAGAAGGTAAATCATTAAAATATATTTATCACAAAAATTAAAAAGAAAAAGAAGACAGGGAGAAGTATAACAACTATTGTTAGATTGTTAGGTTCTGACTTTTTAGAGAGTTGTGTTTGGAAGAGCAGAAGGAGAGGTAAGCTTGGTAATGAGAGTTTAGGGAGTAGAAAAAAGGGAAAAAAGGAAAAAGGTACAGGGGCAGGAGCAACAGAGGAGCAATCTAAAAAGGACAGAAGCTGGAGTTGGGGAAAATATATTTTTTACTCCTCAACCAAAGATATATTTATTTATTGATTTTAGAGAGAGAGAGAGAGAAAAGGAGGGTGGGGGGAGAGAGAGAGAGAGAGAGAGAGAGAGAGAGAGAGAGAGATCTATGTCAGAGAGAAACATCCATCAGTTGCCTTCCATAAGCTCCCTGACCATAGGTTGAACCCACAGCCTAGGTATGTGCCCTGACTGAGAACTGAACCTGCAACCTTTTGGTGTAGGAGACGACACATGAACCAATTGAGCCACCTGGTCAGGGCAACTCTGCTTGATTTTTGTTCTAGTTAGTACTTTGAACCTTGTTTAGCTGAGAAACACCATATGTTATAACTCTCAGATTAGACTACATGAAGGTCTGTAATTGTCAGAACAAGTAGCCAGAAATTTGTATGGATACAGGGCACTAAAACACTATCACCCACCCTGACATAACTGAGCACTCCTCCCAACAGCTGCGGAATACGTGTTCTTTCCGAGTCACTTAGAACATTCATTCAAACGTTCCATGTGCTGTGTCACAAGACAATTCTTCATACATTTAAAAGTTTTGAAGTCATACAGTATGTGCTCTGACTATAGTAAAATTGACTTAGAAATTATAATAGAAAGATGGCTAGAAATTTTCCAAATATTTAAAAGATAAACAATGCTTTTTGAATAACTCAAGTGGAAATCACAGGAAAAATTAGAAAATATTTTTAGCTGAATAAAAATTTAAAACAGTATACCAAAATTTATGGGATATAGATAAAGTAGAGCTAAGAAGAAAATTAATAGCACTTAATGCTTTTAATTAGAAAAAAAAGCAAGTTCTCAAATTAGTGGTCTATACTTCTATCTAAAAAAGGTAGAAAGTGAACAAGAAATTAAATCCAAAACAAATAGAAGGAAGGAAATAGTAAAGGTAAAAGGGAAAAACAATAAAATCAAAAGTTGGTTCCTTAAAAAAATCAATAAAATTTATAAATTTCTAGTTAGACTAATAAAAGAGAAGACATTTACCAATATTAGGAATCCAAGGGCGGTCACACGGTATATCTGACAAACATTAAAAGGATAAAAGAATATTATGAATAGGCCAATATATTTGACAATGTTGATAAAATGTACAAATCCTTGAAAGACACAAATCACAAAACCAACTGAAGAAAAAAATGAAAAACTTTAATATCAATGTACAAGATAAATTCCACAAATAGACATTTATCAAGAGAAATAAATTATTTTTGGTACAGACATAGTTATATATCTTTATTCATAATAATATAGAAACAGTCCAAATGCCCATCAGCAGAAGAATGGATAAATAAATTGTAGTATATCTGTAAAATGGAAAATTCAGCAATAAAAAGAAGCAAACTACTCATAAATGCAAAGTATGTATAAATCTCAAAAATATGCTGAGTGAAAGCAGACACACAAAAAAGCGTATATACTTATAATGTCATTTATATGAAACTGTAGCTAAGAAACTCATTTATACAGAGAGAAATAAGATCAGCAATTGTATGGGGCAAGGGTTGGCAAGGGTTACTGGAGTGATGAAAATGTTCTGTATTTTGATTATATTAGTGTTAATATGGTTGTATACATTTGTTAACAGTAATCAAACTATGTACTTTAAATTGGTGTGTTTTTTGTGTATAAATTATCCCTTTAAAAGTTGACTTCAGAAAAAAGATAAAAGAAAATTAAGTAGGGGTCTGCACAGGACAAGTTCTACCCCTGAAAAGAAGAGAATGGATGCTGAGGCCTTTGCTATAGGCATGCTGAGTTTTTTCTGTTTATAGGGCATTCAGATGGATAAATCCATAAGGTGGGCAGTTAGATCTTGAAATAAAATATCTGTGGTACAGACACAGATTTAGGGTAATCTGTATACAGAGAATGCTTGAAATTTGGGACTGGATGAGTTAAGAAAGAAAGAGAGAGAGAGGGGGCGGGAGAGAGAGAGAGAGAGAGAGAGAGAGAGAGAGGGAGAGAGAGAGAGGGAGCGTGCGCAGAGATTGACGAGAATAAGGCCTGGGACAGAATCCTGAAACTGACTAATGTGTAAGGAAAGCACACAGGACACTAATATGAAAGGAGTGGGCATATGAGGAGGTGCCTACAGAAATGTAGGATGAAAATATTCAAATCATAGATACAGAGGGAAGAGTGTTCTAGCAAAAAAAGGCCCTGTGTTGCCGAATGCTTCTGACAAATAAGTCAAGATCTGAAAAGTATCTGCTAAATTCAGCTATTTAGGTCACTGAAATTGCTGACGGGGTTCCTGGGGATAATGGTGACTTCATTCTCATTTGTTCATTTTTATTTTGGTATGGGAGGAATGGAAGATAAGAATAAGCCAATACAGGGGGATAGGGAAAGGAATAATTTAAGAGTGGGTTTGTTAGAGAGGCAGGAAGGGATGGGGTGTGGAGCAAAGGCGAACTTTACCCTTAGAGAAGAAGGACACTCATTCCATTTTAGCAGGATTGAAAGTGGAAGGAACACATGGGATGAAGCTGGTATAGTGCTTTTAATGGCAGAAAGGTGAGGGAATGGATAAAATGACAGCAAGGAGCCCTCCAAATCTGAGAAGAGGTGGTCTGTGCTTCTTCAGAGCCCTGGGCAGGTTGAAGAATGGGCAGAGAGAACAGCTTCAACTCCTTTGAATTAATGGTCTTTCTATTGGTCTGATTCTGCAATAGGGATGATCAACATTTTACACGGAATGGGTTTAAGGCTCCTTGCTTTGGGACATCACACACCTTTTATGGTGAGATTTTTATTTTATTTTTAAAAAATACATATCACACTTTAAGAACAGAAAACTGTCTCAGGTTGTAGACTAACTTGAATTGTGTGCTTGCTTTCAGCACATTGGCATGGCTCATAACTATAGGAACAGCAGTCAGGCTGTGCAAGCTGTCCGCGATGCTGGCTATGAAATATCTCTGGGTTTGATGCCCAAGTCGATAGGGCCCTTAACATTTGTGTTCACAGGGACTGGTAATGTATCTAAGGTAAATCCCACCTGTCTTGTTTCTGTAAAGCAGCCTGGATCTCTGAAACTAACCCAAAGGATGTGGGCATTTTGTGGACATTTCAGAGCCCTGCTTTTCCATGAATGTGCATTCTGTTTGGGGTACTTTTCTTACCTATGTACCTTTTCTGTAGTAAAGAGCAGTCATGGTCCAAACTTATGTTTTTTGCTTTTAGTTGATTCCAAGCTGTGAGAGGTTTTAAACTTTTTTCTTTTTCCTTTTTAGAGGAATAACTCATTTTTAATGGTGTAAAGCTCTCTTCTTAGGGTGATGTTTTACCTCCATCACTGAGATATTAAAAAATTTGGAAGTTCCCCCAGGATGTACTTTTTTAAGACAGATGTTAGGAAATTTAATTCAAACTAGAATTGGTATTTTTTTCTTTCTGGGGTGGAACACATTTCTGGGGTTTGAGTACACATTTGTGACCTCTATCCCCCACTGAGAAACTTGTAATTACAAAATAGATCTTTCTTCAGGAACAATATTTTACAAAAAAAGACATCACTATTTGTATTATGCTGTGAGATAAGCATCTAATTTTTTGTAGGAGATACAGTTTCCCCACTTGAAATAGCTTCTGCAGTGAAGCAGAAAGTAAAGAGAAATATTTTATTGTGCTCTAATTTCTAAATACTTTTGTTGCTATGCTGAATAAGTTAAGTAAAAACATTAAACCCCTTCCAATGCATGGTGTTCAAATTGCAGGCTATGAGCAAGAACCTCATGTGACTTTTGACTGTGCAGTCCTGGTTGCAGGGGGCTGTGTAACTGTGGGAAAAGTTAATTAGAATCTTTGTAGGAAATCCTGTTGGCTCTTTTCCTATTTATTTTTAGAGTTTTACTCATGTGTTATTTACAGGGAGCCCAAGAAATCTTTAATGAACTACCCTGTGAATATGTGGAACCGCATGAATTAAAAGAAGTTTCCCAAACTGGAGGTAAGAGGGCGAGGATGAGTGGGTGTTTTTTTACTCTTTTTTATAGTTTCTGTGTTATAATATTTCATCGCCATAAATCTTTATCATTTGTCATCCACTTTACCGATTTCTTTCTCATCTGCAAGACCTGAGGAAAGTGTATGGAACGGTGTTAAGTCGCCATCATCATCTTGTCAGGAAAACAGATGGTGTATATGATCCTGTAGAATACGACAAATATCCTGAGCGCTACAGAAGTCGTTTTAACACTGATGTGAGTATTGCACTCAACTGTTGAGTTGGTTCATGAAACAATATAGCCAGACTCTTTCCAGGAGAGAAATTCTGAATGTGTACATTGGTTTTCCGTCCCCCATATTTATTGACTGTTGTGAGTCCCTTGGATATTATGAGTTGGCCTAAGGAGTTATTGGCTTTTATTGATGTTTGGAGTGGCCTTTGCTGAGTGGTTTTGTTGGTTTCTGTGGCTGTGCCCTTTGCTTCACTGTCTTTGTTTGTACTGCAGGTCTGCGTGTACCCGGTAGCTCTAAAACATTTCCTGTGGATTACTGCTTTCTGTATTTATCCTGGATTAATTTGAATTGTTGGCAAAATGCAGTGTCTACGAGGTTGTATCTCAACATAGATTTATGCCTTCTGTAGCCATGAATTGCAACTATAACCTCAGCTTGCTCTCTTGAAATGCATACTATTGATTATAGGGCTCCAGGGTGATATAGTGAGGCTGCCTAAGCACAGGCCCATGCCCACTGTACAAAACAGTTACTTACGATTAAAATCCTTCTGAGGAAGGCACAGAGCCCCATCTTATAAGAAGAACAATATGTTTGCGTGCTCTGAAGTCATTGGTCATGCAACAGTCCTCCTCAAAAGAAACTGATAAAAACAAAACAAAAAATGCAAGCATATATGGTGATAAGGAATATTTTGAATAATTTCCATATGTTTGAGCAACATAGCATGTTTAGATTCTGGCATGAAATTTGGTGTTTAGCATATAAAGCATGTTATAGAAAAAGACTTTTACCTGTGATTTGCAAATTCTTGAGATACCTGAGAAAGAAATAATGTGAAACTAGTCCCAAACTGAAACATTTTGAATCTAGTAAATTTCCATTCTTCTTTCTCCTCCCAGTCACAGAAGGACTGGTGATTGGCTATGTCCTTAAACTTATCATGGCCTAGTTACCATGTATGCATGTTTGTAGCACATTTGTCTATGGAGTTTACTGATGTTATCTAATTTAATCTCCCCAGTATTGCTTTGAGGAAGGGCTACATATTATCCCCATCTGGCAGGTAAGGAAATGGCTCAGAGAAGTCCAGGTAGCCTGACTTAGGTCATGCTGTACCGGTTGCTGAGCTACAAATAGAGTGCTAGGTCACCTGATTCTCTGTCCTGCCTTTTTCTTATCTAGGCATCACATTAGAGAGCAAGCATATTAATATGTTTATGTTCACATATTGCTCTATCATGGGGAATTTTACACTGACTCTAGGTGGCTATTTTTTGTCTTTGACTCAGAAGATGGCCACTGACCTGGCAAATAAAGTCAACTTGAAATAACACTAAATATTTCTCATGGAATTTACTGATAGCTCTCTCAGCACACTGCATCAAAATACTCTGTTTCCTAGCTGTTGAACTTGGGACTTGCTTTACAGGTTGCACCCTATACAACTTGTCTGATTAATGGGATCTACTGGGAACAAAACACCCCTCGTCTACTAACTCGCCAAGATGTTCAGATTCTCCTGGCTCCAGGCAAGGCTTCACCTGTTGGTGTGGAAGGCTGCCCTGCGTTGCCACACAAGTAAGGATCTTCCTTCAGCAATGATGGCAGTTTTTAGCAGCAGGGCCCACTGTTAGGGCATCACACATAGGGGTCCACATATCACAAAACTTGACTGTTAATGAGGACTTGTCTGCTTCTTATCTTAGTTGACCTTTTGAGAGCATTTGACAGTTAACCTTCCCTCCCACTTGAAATCTTCCTTAACTTCTGTGGCTCTGTATGTAGCTCAGAAGTTATCTCCTCAGTGAGGTGCTTTCCAGCTTCTCTGTTTTCATTCTCTCTAGTCTGTTTCTCTTTCAGAAACCCACCATCATTTATTTTCTGCCTCCCACTTGAACTTAATCTTCTTCAAGAGAAAGGCTCTATTTCTGTTGACCACAGGTACTTAGGACATTGCCTGAAAACAATATACTTTCAAATCATTATTAAATGTCCAATTAATTCATTAGTCAATAAGTATTTATGGTATATCTCGTCTCTCTGGCACTCTGCTGAGCTAAAGGATAGAGATGAGTATGGGTATGGTTGCTACCTCCAGGCATGTAGCTGGCATCAGCTCAGTGCCAAGGGAATGCTGAAACAACCAGTATTCTCCTCAAACAGACTTGAGGAGAAAGTGGGAGTCTGGGCTTAGCAAAGCCTCAAGAGAGGAGTGAGGAGAGTGAGAATTGCAAGTGGCAGTATTGCCGCTTGACACATATGGAGCCATCAAAGCACAGCTTAAGACATAGTAAGTCGGATAGTCTAGTTTCTAGTGTAGGGTTTATATACGCAAGAGGTAATTGGAGATTGGGCAGGAAAATTGGGGTCAACCTCTAAAGGGTTTCAAATGGTGGGCTGAGACATTGATTCATAATTCCAGAGATTCCCATGCAATAACATGTAAAATTATATAGTACTAAGCAGGGTGGAGGGAGTTGGCTAAGTAGGTTAAGTTTAGGTTGTCATCAATGATATTTCTAGGGAAGGAATTTTCCATTTTTATTTCTTTCCTCCTTTTCCTCCTGCTCCTCCTTCCTTTCCTTCTCCTCCTCTTCCCTCTGTTCTTCCTCCTGAAGCCTGAAACTCACAGTAGGAAGATTCTGGTTTCCCAGAAGAACTCAGCAGGGGGAAAAAGCTAAGAGCCTAGGCAGCCATCCTGAACGTTGTTCCAAGCACCCTTCATTTTTCCTCATTTTTAACCTTGTTGGAGACTTCAGAGTTCTGGGCTCTGATCTAAGTATTGATGTTATTTTCAGACTTGTAGCAATATGTGACATTTCAGCAGACACTGGAGGATCTATAGAGTTTATGACTGAGTGCACAACAATAGAGCATCCCTTCTGCATGTATGATGCAGACCAGCATATCACTCATGACAGGTGAGTTTGCTAAAGTGGTCCAATGGTGGGAGATACATAAAAATACGTCATCTACCTAATTTTATATACTAGTCTTAAAATACTCAATACATCATTATGAAAACTATGCAAATTTTCAGAGATATGCTGAAACATACTTAAAAATTTGGGAGAAAACTTGACATGCAAATATTTTCTTTTTTAAAAGATTGTATTTATTTATTTTTAGAGAGAGGGGTAGGGTGAAAGAAAAAGGGAGAGAAACGCTAATGTGAGAGAGAAACATTGATCAATTGCCTCTCTCATGTGTGCAGACTGGGGGCCAAACCTACAACCCAAGCATGTGCCCTGACTGGGAATTGAACTTGCGGCTTTTCACTCTTGTGAGACAATGCCCAGTCCACGGAGCCACACTGGTCAGGGCCCCACTGCAAATTTGAACACTTAAATCCATATATTCCATATTAAAATGGGAGATGGGTTACCCAAAAAGGAAAAAGTTTTGTTTGAAAACTCTTGTTTATTTTGTTACACTATTACAAATGATAAGAAGCAAGTACAATGGAATAGAAATCCGAAAAAGTTAGAGCTACAGGTAATATTTTGTACATCCAAATAAAGCATGTTGCTTCTTCTAGTGTCGAAGGCTCTGGGATTCTGATGTGTTCCATTGACAATTTGCCAGCACAGCTTCCAATTGAAGCTACAGAGTACTTTGGGGACATGCTCTATCCTTATGTTGAAGAAATGGTAAGCAAACCTGGAGCTTCACAACAACTCCAAGGCTTTCAACAGAACTGTGGCATAATTTTATCAGTGTTCTGGTCTTTGGTATTAAGAAATCTGTTGTAAAATGAAATGCCAGCCCTTCCATGAAATACTGACTATTATTTTATACATTCTGCTTCCTTCTCTCATGGGGAATATGGTTGTATAACTGTTGTCATGCTTAATTACAATTTGCATTTGCTTCTCATTATGTATATTATGTTCATGACATGAAAGATAAGATTCTCTTTGTTTTCAATTCTTTCTTTTCTCTAGGTCAGTTCATATTGAGGTATTCTTAGTGTGCTGTGATTAACAGATTTGAAAAATATAGGAAATTTTATTAGATTTTAGTCACTAATGCTTAGTTAGGGACAGCTTTTCTTGAGGTCATATATTTTTCACTGTGGTCAGTGATTGACTACTGAAATACTATGTTTTTTAAATTTCATTTATTTGCCAAAGATAAGGTTTTTTCTTCCAGTATTTATCTTCAGCCTTCATGCTAAAACTGGTTTATTTCTATTGCTGACGGTTGTCTGCCTCTGGCAGTGAGTCTCAAGGTATGAATCAGTGGCTGTTGTTCTTTCCCTCCGTGGTTTTACTCTGCAGCTCTCATGCTACAGTGTGACAGTAGTTACGGGACATGGATAGATGAGACTTTGCCTGTGATCTTCTTTTCGTTCACATATTATTTCATTTTGAACCTTTGTTTTCCTCCTAGAATATGTCAGGTGGGAGATGTAACAAGCTTGAGAAAATGCAGGCAGCAGGCACTATTATAATTGGCATGATATTATATTGCATCTACTATGTGCCAGGTAGTATTTAAATTACTTAATGTATTTTAACTATTAAATACTCATCAGAGCCCTATCTGGTAGGTACCATAATTCAATCCATTTTACAGATGAGGAAACTGAGATATGAAGAAGTTAAGACTGAGAAGAGTTGCTGCTGCTGTGTTGGATCTATAATGCTCCTGGAATTGGCAGCATGTAGAACAGGTGGCAAATGTCAGGCTTTACTAGAGACGTCAACTTGCTTTATGGCCTTGAGCAGGACGCTCACTCTCTGAGCCTCAGATGCTTCACCTGTACGAGAAGTGGTTGCTCTTTAAAATCTTAATGGTCCCTCCAGCTCTAACATTCTGTATTGTAGATGTCTCAGTGGCTCAAGGGTATGTATATAAAAAAATAGTAAGTTTACCCAGATGTTTACCATTTTCGATGATCTTCATTCACTTTTCTCTAGCATCATTCCCTGCAGACCTGGTAACTTCCTTGAGCACAATGAGCAAATTTAAAAGTTTCAGATATTCTCTTTTCAGTTCTAAATTTTCCATCTGGTTCTTTTTTTCTCTTTTTCTGTTGAGAATTTCTATTTTTAAATTTGTTTTGAGTGACTTTCCTTTGTCGCCTGGAGCATATTTATAAAAGCTACTTTACACTCTGCTTACATTTCCAAAATTCTGAATCAACTTAGGGTCAAACTTTCCTTTTAAGAATGGATCAGGTTATCGTTTTCTGGTTTTCTTATATTGAATGATCTTTGAATTGATTTTGGATGATGTTGTGGAGATTCTGGGTTATTATATTTCTCTGACAAGTATTGCTTTCGAGGAGCTAACAGACAATGAACTTGGTTAGACTTAAAGTGAAAAGTCTGTCTCACCTGAGTTAGGGGTAGTACCAACAAAAGTTCAGCTCTTTCATCTTTACCTGGGCTGCTGGTATAGTCTGACCTGAACATGCTCAGTTCTGGGGTCATAGAGACTTGGAACAGAGCTTACAAGGGTTTTACAAGGGAACAGAGTTTGGAAGCTGGACTTCCCTTTTTTTTTTCTGAACCTGTCCTTTCAGGCACTTCCCCCTCACACTCCAGAGCCTGTGGTTGCTCTAGATTCCATTCCTGTTTCCTTTGGTCAGAAAGTCATCAAGTTTGCTGCATGTGTTTTCCCTCCTCCTACCACATGGTCCATCCTCATCCTCAGGGCAATGCCAAAAGAATGGGAAAATCAACCACTGTGTTCATTATTTCTTCTAAGTTTTGACACTTTTCCCATAATTGCCTGCTTTTCTTCATTCTCTGAAACCCCCATGTAGATAGTTCTGTTTGTATTTTGTCTAGAGTTTATTATCTGTAGGAAGGATGGAACCTAATGTCCATACGTACCCCCCCATCATAACACATTGATTCAATCAACTTGACTCCAGCATAACACATTGATTCAATCAACTTGAGCCTTTGGTTTTAGTTCACTGTTTTGAATATTAAGATTATGTCTTTCCACGCAATTCTTACCTTATTAGGCCAGGTTATGGAAAATGGTGAATACTGATCTGCTTTGTGGTTGAGTTTGACTGTAAATTTCTTGACAAGTGTTTTTGTTTGGCTGCTCAGATTTCAATTATAAGTTTATTTGTTTTGGACTTTAGAACACAGCTTTTCATTCCTATTCATCCTTGATCAACATTGCCAGTCATGCAGTGCACTTGACCTCATGTAGCTGTCAGGAGAAATGCAAGCTGGGTCAATGACTTCTCAGGAAGGTGTGACTGAGGGTTAGCTTAAGCAACCAAATAGGAATAAGGACATTTCTTAAATAAAATTTTTACTAAAGAACACAATATAATTTTTCACAGTATATAATACTACAAAATATTACAGTGTCACAGATAAGTGACCCATTAGTGTACAGCTCAATAAATTATCACAAAGATGCTACGTGAACACTGAATAAGTGAAAAATAGAGCAATGTTAACAACCCAGAGACTCCCTTGTGTCTCTCCTAGCACTACCTCTACTTCCCTTCCTATAGGTGCCTGCTATCTTGACTTCTAACTATGGATTAGTTTTGCTTTGGGGGGGACATTTTATTTTTCCAACATATTAATTAGTATTCAAACTCACTTCTGATAATTCCAGTAAACTTTTTGGATCTATGTTCTGTTTTACTCTTGTCTTGGTTTTCAGTCAATTCTTATTAGTTAATGTTCCCATTTATTTTTGATTGAATGCTGGATACTGTGTATATAAAATTTTAGAGGTGAATCGAGGTTCTGGATGTTGTGGCAATTTTCTCCAGAGAAGATTTCCTTTGTTTTTGGCAGGAATTGAATAGCCTAAGAGAAAATCCCCTCAATTCAGAGGAGGATGGGAATGATTCAAAGCTGGGCTTTCCTCCTTTGGAGAATTGATAGTTTTCAGTTTACCATTTATTTTAAAATGTAGTCTTTCAGTAGCTGAAATGAAAATCTGGCACTTACTAGGGTCCCCTTCAGCAGAACTTAAATTCCAATTTTTGTTTTTGTTTAGTTGACAAACTCTCCTCATTTTCTCAGTATCTCTGCTGCTTTCTGCTCAACTTTTCGGCATCCCAGTCACTGCACCTGCATGGACAACTGCACCTAGGAATGGTGCCTAATGGGATAAACACCCTCAGAGTGAGGACTCACCTCTCTGGGTAACCTTCTCCAGAATGATGGCGCAGCAAGTCTTTCCTGTCCTTTGAACCTGAATACAGGCTTTTCCTGTTTTACCTGTTGAAAGGATTGGTCTGAAAAGAGCAAATTTACCATTGCTAGATGGAAATATACATTAAAAAATATGATGTGTTTGTGCCTACATAGATAGATAGCTGATAGACTTTTATGCAGTGCAGCAAGGTGAAGGATGTCAGGATGTGAAGTGTTGGTTAGCATTGGGGCATGTGGTGTTGCTTAGATGTCTGATGAGTAAGCCCACTCCTCTAAACTGTCATACCATTTTTACTTATATTAACCTCACTGTAGCCCTCTAAGCACCTTGGTGGGATTGCCTCAGGGGCATTCATCTCTACAGAATCTTTAAGCACTGAACATTTGTGAAAGTTGATGAATGTCTGTTTTGTAGTCTTGATATATATGTCTGCTTACTACTAAAAAATTAAGTATGTTGTCTCTGATCTCTTCTGATGACTACATGGGAGCTGTATTTAAAAATACATGCACTCTCCTGTTTTCCCTAGATTTTCCTTTTGACTTAAGATCCATATAGCTTCTATAGCATTGCAAGGCATGCACTATTATTTTATACCAGCATAGAATATTAGTTTTAGTTGGAGTTGATATTCATTTTCTATTGGAACAAGACACACACATGGGTGGCAAAAATGAAAACACACCTTTTGACTTATAGAAGCATGAGGTCCAGGCAGAGGCTGAGACAAGTATGCAAGTGAGGTGGAATGTGACGTCCATTAGAAAGATGCTAATGAGGTTGTGTAGGGAGAGGCTCTGGCCTTTGGGTAAGATTAGGAAAGGTTTTATGAAAGAGGCGACATTTGAGCTGGTTCTACATAGATGTATAGGATCTGTTCATTTGCACGGGAATAAGAGGCACACTGTGATGGAGACAGGAGAGCGAAGGTGAGAGTTAATTTAGTCTAGGGATTTCGATGAAACAAATGTATGTTGGTTCCATATTGGAAAGGGTCTCAACACCAGAATAAATAGCTAGCAATTAATTTAAAAGAGAGTGATGAGCTCCCAAAGGTATTGTACATAAAAGTGGCATATGCTTCAGAACTCCTGTGGTTGCACTTCTGTATTGGCTGAATTCTAGCAAGGAAAATACAAGTCAATGGAGAAACTGAGGAGTCTTTTGTCTTTCATGTGAGCCTTTCTTTGGAATTCATGACAGTTTTTTTAGTTTTCTTGGAAAAAGTCCACTGAACTTTCAATAATTATTGCATGTATTCACTAATATATTTAATTGTATGTTTACCATTTAATGTAGCAGGCACATGGCAAGATGCCAAGTGTGGTTTCTACCTTCAAGGTGTGCTTGAGGGCAGATTTTAATAAAGACTTCACAAAGGTGGCAATTTTTCAGCTGTACCTTGAAGAATAAAGAGTGGGAGTTCCAGGTAGAGGAACAGAATGCGAGGCATCCACCTGGTGTAGCCCAGAGGGATATGAAAGCACAACACAGATAAGCAGTTCCATGCTGTTTGTAGATCTAAAATGTTGGGTATGAGGCTCAAGGGAGAGCCGAGGCTGGAGAAGCAGAACTGAAAGCAGGGAAATGACCTGCAGGCCTGGCCACCTGCCACCATGAAAGCCAATACTCATGACACAGATACAGAGAATAAGAAAAGAAGTTTATTCAGGTGCTGGTGACCTGAACAGATCACAGGCTCCTGTCCTTGAAAACCATTTTAACCTTTCAGACATTTTGGCCCGATTACATGGGAAATCGCGGGGAAAGGGGAACTGTGAATTTCTGGAGATGTGCAGTTCTTGCTCAGGCTTATTCTTTCTGTTCCGATGTTGTCTTTCAATGAGTGCCAACCGCACGCACACCTGCTGTTTTACTGGCAGCATCAGTGTTCCTTACTCCCGGAATAGGCTGTTCAGCTGTAACGAGAACTTGACCAGAGATGGAAGTACAGGATTCATTATATCCTAGGATTTGTTACAGAATACATAATTTTGATCACTAGATTGGTAGCATTAAATCATGATTACAGAACCAGTCTGTAGAGAATCTTGTAGGCCACCCAAGGAGCTAGAGGCTTTATCTTGAAGACATGGGAAAGATACTGAGTTATTTTAAATAGGCACAGGAGAAATGATGAGATTTGTGATTTAAATGAAAGATAGCCTAGGTGTCTTGTGTTTTAGATGTGTGAAAGTAGTTTTTTGTTTATTTTAATATAGTAAATAAATACTTCCCTGCCAGCCTCTGGTAGGGTGAGTGGCTAGATTTTAACCTATGGATAAGAGGGGGAGGGGACTGATTGTGTTATTGGCCCTAATGCCCGGACCATCAGAAGCAACAATACTGGTTTATATGACCTTTACCCCCTGGCAGTCTATTCAAGAGATGGATACCTTGATAAAAAAAAAAGAGGGAAATGAGGAGGATGTTGGGGTGTTAGTATGAGAGATGTGGTTTTTGTTGTTTGCCTTTGACTCATTCTTGCAAGAAGATAAAGACTGATAAGAGTGTGAATAACTTTCTGAGATCTACTTGGTGAAGTCATTTTCCCTGACACTTTTGAAATGCTGAAGTGTCTACACTCAGAACTGATATTGACCTGCAGGAGATTTCCTACTGTGCGCTTGGGCGGGCTGTTCTCTGGAAGACCTGTAACAGAATGCTGGCCTACGCAATTCTGAAACAGAAGTGTGGGCTTGTTTGCCTGCCTCGGAGACTCCCAATCCCAGAGTTTGGTGAAAGGGAAAGGAATTGTTTATTTAAAAGTTATACAGATTTAGAACAATGGTGGAATTCTGCCATTAAGTCCCACTCCCTTTAAAACACCCACAAATACACACGCCCACTCCTGCCTCCCTTTTGCCATCTCACGTCGGTTTCAGAACATGCCAGTCAGAAGTACTATCTCTCAGGAGAAAGAACCAGAAGTTCACCACTCAGGATTCCCCCATCTCAGTCCAGCATCTCAGGCATCTCCCACTAATCCGTGGTTGGCTGGACAGGTTCTACAGTCCTCAGTACCATCAACCTTGTTGTCATTTTCTCCAGCTCTTAATCCAAAAATGCATGACACCTTGTCATGGTGGGCCAGTTGGGGTCCTTCTGTGCCCTTTCAACCCACATCGCCAAGAGCATGAATGGTTGCCACGCCTGGTTTAAATCCCAGCTGGAGCTTCCTAGTAACCCCATTTCCGACTCCTCCCACAATGGCTTACCTCTGCCAGGTCTCTGTTTCCATTGTTAGTCTAGGCAGGTATGGCCCTGTGACACAGAGTGAACATACTCTAAGATCTTATACAGGCACAGCAAGCCCCCCGGGCTACATCATGGGTTAAGGTCTTGCTGATCCTGGAGCAAGACAGGCACAGCTATTTAGCATACCTATGAATCTAGCCAAGTTGCCACAGATATGCAAAATCTCCCAAGTGGCGCTCTGCTTCCCCCACCCCTCAAGCCATGGCTATGGAGGTTTGGGGGATTTTTTTCTCTGACCCCTGCTCTACCCCCATTATGGACCCATTCTCTACTTATAAAAGAACAGTACAAACACTTGGAATGGGATAAAGGCCCTAAGAATGAGCACTGTAACTATAAAGCTTGTGGTGATATTTGACATCATGCACAGTATGACACATCGAACCGGTGAGGAAGAGTAAATTTTTTTGTGTTTCCAGCAAGCAAAATTTGATTTCATGACTGTAATCAAATTTTACTTTTAAAGTTGGAACTTATTTTGAAACAGTCTGTCCTTCAGGGCAGACTTCATTACTTGTAGAAGATGTTTATTTACAATTATTTATGGATCTTCAGAAACTTTTCTAAATTCTTTTTTCTTTTGACTAATATTTTAATATGAATAAAAACACCAAGAAGCCTTCTTTGCAATGTCATTTGTCTCTTACCAATCTTATTTTCCCTGCAGATATTATCAGATGCAACACAACCTCTTGAAAGTCAGAATTTTTCTCCCGTGGTACGAGATGTAAGTTGTGAAATTACTTTTTTCTATAAGTGTATTTTTTTCGCTACAATCCTCTCTCCCCTCTCTCCCTTTCCTTTCTCTCTCCCCATCTTTATCTGTCTCTTCTCTATCAGTCATGAGCCCATGTTTGTGGGACTAAACTGTGGATATTAAAGAAATGTCTTGTGTCATATACATTTAGGCAGTGATTACATCCAACGGTACATTGCCTGATAAGTTTAAATATATCCAGAAACTCCGAGAGAGCAGGTAAGCATTGTTCTTATCTTGGATCTGATGAGTATTTTTTTATGTTTCAATGTGAGTTCATGAAACTAAGTTTATACAAGATGTAAATTTTGAAAATGCCTATAAATATAGGAAATCCAAAGTGGGTGATTAGCTGGAACCAGTGTAAATTATTTCCCCCTGAACTGTACGGCAGCATTATTTGGGCTTTCTAATACCCTGTGTAGGCTTGTGTGTAAACCAACACAAATCCAAAAGGCTGTCCTTTGGGGCGACTCTCTCTCCAGCACTTTGCATTTTGCCCTGCCTCTGTTACTTTGTCAAAGGAAATGAGCATGCTAACCCTTTCTGTGGTGCTTTCAGGCTGGTTTTTAGTTGAGGTTTTGGACTCTTTTTTATTTCGTATGATATTTAGGAAAGTGAGCTCTTGGTTAGAGATTAAGGGAAGAAAGGAAATGATTAGAGGTCACTTTTTCCTGGAGATTCTTATTAGGAGGAAGGTGTCAAAAAGTTTCATGGGAAATCTACCCAAGAGAATAGTTCCCACAGAAAGGTACTAAGCTAAGGTCCTTGTTTTCTTAATTGATTTTGTACTCAAAGTTTGAAAACATTGACATTTCTTTGGAATGTTTCAGTCCACTTCAGCTGATTACATTTGATTTGTGTTTATATCTGCTCCAGGCGTCTATTCCTATCTAACAAAATAACCCATGCACTGAGTTCTCAGGAGAAACCAGAGTGGGAAAACTAACAACCACCCAACAAGCAAACAGACTTCTTTCTCAGTTGTTGTCCCTGTAAGAAGTAGATGAAGAGATCTGCAGAGATCAAGTACACTACTGTTATGTTTTTCCATATGTATTAGTTTGCTCTTGGTTACTTTTTATGTATCAATGAAATGTTTGGGCAGAAGACAGCAAAAGTGTAAAATTTGTTTTCTTTCTTTCTTTTTTTTTAAAGCAACTAGCTGTATAACCTTTTAGAAGAGTTAATTATTGGGGAAATATGACATGTATTTGTTTTTCAGAGCTCTCTGTATCTTTTGACATCATTACCTGATGATCTCTTAGGCTAATCCTAGAGGCATATCTAACATGACTAGTTAGACAATAACATCTTCACTCTCACATACCATGTTTTATGAACCAGCAACTACTCCAACAACTGGCTCCAACTACTAGGATTTCCTGCCCTTCTTCCCTAGCAAAATCTTGTGCAAAGACAGTGACACAAAGATTGCATTTTTGAAAGGAAATTTTGTTATGCTGCACCCTGCCTTATTCTTACATTCTCTGTGTCACTTAGCACAGTGATGATTAACCTGGAGTGGTTTTAGGTGATGATGAGATGGACCATATTAGAATCTAGGTGTAATTTTTAAAAAAAATGTATTTTGAACAATATATTTAGATATCAAAATAATATGTTTTAATTATATAACTATAGAAAGTGTTATTAAGAAGGATATACTATAACCAAATTATAGTGGGGGTTATTTTTGTTTCTTTTTTTTTGTTTCACTTTGTTTTTTCTTTTGTTTTTCGGGAGTTTTTTTGCTAGGTGGAATGGGATGGGGGTGAAAGTTAAAGGTGACCTCACTTCATCAGTAATATAAATGTTGGGGGTAAAGAGGAACAGGAATATTTATTTATTTTTTAAATCCCCAGCTTAGGTTATTTTTATTATTGATTCAGAGAGAGAAAGGAAGGGAAAGAGAAGTATCAGTGTGAAAGAGAAACATGATCGGTTGCCTACTGCACACACCCTGACCAGGGATAGAACCTGCAACCTAGGTTTGTGCCCTGACCAGGAATCGAACTCAGGACATTTTAGTGTAGGGGATGATGCTTCAATCAGCTGAGCCACCTGGCCAGGGCTACAACAGGGACATTTTATACTTATAGATATTTTTGTTTACTTATAATTAATAAAAAGGTTAAAGTTTGAGAAATACTCTGGTCTAAAAGATCCCAACAACAGGGCCTGATGCTTAAGTCCCTGGCACCAGGCTGTTTACGTGGTTTTGCATTGATACCTGGGAACTTGATTCAAAATGCATTTAATGAATACTTTCTATATTAAAGACAAAATAGACTGAGCATTAATGGGTTTATAAAGATGAGTAAGACTTAGTCATTTTCTTGGAGGTAATAATTTGTTGGAAAGACAGAGTTGTCTGTCAGAAAGGTGTACATTCTTAACAGGATAAACTTGTCAAGAATTAAATTCCTGCCTGGTAACTTGTCTCAGATTTCTATATGTGACCCTAGACATTTGTGATTTCAAAGTTATGGTTTCAACTGTCCTCAAGTGATCCAAAATATAAATGACCAAACAAATGTCTAATATGAGTAATGATAATCTCAGACTGTATGTCAGATTGTTGTGCAGAATGATACAGTTTCTGAGGTAAAGCCCCTAGTACAATTTTGAATCATGTCCCCTGGGAGGAGGCAGTGTGAGACCAAGTTACTGAGTTGTGAGTAAGACCATCAGTGGGCCAGCATCTGCACCTCACTAGTCAAATCCACAACAGTCTGTGGACACCTGCCTCAGAGATGTCAGGGTCCATTGTCCACTGTACAGAATCTAACATAATTAATATAAAATGTCGGTGCAGGGAATTCCCGTTGAGGCTCTTATTATGAATACTGTGGGAAAGATCATGGCTTTATGATTTTTCATGAAGCTTTAGTTTGGCTTGGGGACAGTAGGATTCTGTTATTTAAATTGTTTTTGGTTAAATGATTCCTCCCCACCTGCCTTTTTATTCTTTTTCATAGAGAACGTTCTCAGTCGCTGTCAATGGCCACCAAGAAAAAGGTTTTGGTCCTTGGAACTGGTTATGTCTCTGAGCCTGTTTTGGAATACCTGTCACGAGACCATGATATAGAAATAACCGTAGGTAAAGGAGCCCTAATTTTTGAAGAAGGAGAGCTAATTTCATATGTTTACTCTGTGAATTTTAAATGACTTTTTTTTAATTTGAAAAGTATTTTGGAGATGTTAAAGTGTTTTGCTTTCTGACTAGGAGAAGGAAATCTAAAATTTGGGCTTCTTTATTCTTGAAATAGGCTCTGACCTAAAGAGTCAAATTGAACATTTAGGCAAGAAATATAATATTAATCCTGTTGTCCTGGACATTAGTAAACAAGAAGAGAAGTTGGGCTCCTTGGTGGCAACCCAGAATCTTGTCATCAGGTTAGTATTTAGCAAGAAATGATGGCTGTATATTTTGTTGATATTGTTATTTTTGTTTCCTTATTTTTCCCCCTTCTGTTTTCCTCTCTTCTCCCTTCTCTAGTAAACTTTAGTTTTAATTATGTATTGAGAAAAGCGCACAAACCATAAATGTATAATTCAATGATTTTTCACATAGTGAACATACCAAACAACCATTATTCACATCCAGAAACAGAGTATGTACCCCAGAATCCCTCTTGGGGCTCCCTGTTACTAGCTGTGTCCCCCAAGGTTAAGTGCTATCCTGGCTTCTAGCATATTTGTGTTTGCTAGTTTTCAAATTTACAATTAGAATTATTTCGTATGTTCTCATTTATAGCTGCCTTCTTTCATTTAATGTTGCAATTGTGAGAGTTATGTTGTCTGTAATTGTAGTTAATCATTCTCATTGCTGTGTAATATTTCATATGTGAATATACTATTATCAATTTGACTGTTGATAGGTATTTAGGTTCATCTGGATTTGGCTATTATAGATCATGCTGCTGTGAATATTTTATTATTTGCCTTTTACTTACTGTATATACACATTTCTGTTGGGTATCTACCTAAAAGTAGAATTGCTGTGTCATAAGATACCTATGTTTCATATATTTTGGTAGGTATTTTATCCTTTGGATTTATAAAGTTTAATGAAATTGTGTGAATCCTTTATAACTCTTTCAATAGGATCAGATCATGAATTGCTATGCTTATTACTGCCAAAAATTTTAGAGATAACTTCTAAATATAGAGCTACATGAAGTTCACTCTATAATTAAACTTGATTTTGAAGCAAAATAATAAAGTGATGAGAATAGTAATTTATTCTTAGAATATACAATATTTTTTTGGACCATAAGATGCACCTAGGTATTAGAGGAGGAAAATAGGAAAAAAATGTTGAAGCAAAAAATGTGGTAAAATATTTAATAACACAAATAACATAATATTTCACCAATGTAAATGTAGACAGAACTCAACAGTAGCATTAACAACCATTATTTCTCCCAAATTTGGGGATGGGAAAAAGTGCGTATTATAGTTTAAAAAATATGGTAATAATAAAAGAAAGAAGGTTACCTGCTCATTCAGAGTTATATCAATTCATAGATAAGATTTAAATGATATCTTTACAAAAGTTAGATCAGATTTAAATGGTATCCTTGGAGGAAGTTCTAAGATATCTTAAGAAAAACAGGCTTGGAGAACAGATACAATGAAAGGTAATTCTAAGAGGGAACTTTTGTGTTGTCTCTGGATTTATTTAAACATAAGCTCATTTTGGTCACTTAAACATTATTCATTTTACACAAATTTAATGTACACTAATTTTTTATTATTTTATTGATTATGCTATTACAGTTGTCCCATTCCCCTCTTCATTACCCTCTACCCTGCACACCCCCTCCTACCCACATTCCCCACCTTTAGTTCATGTCCATGTGTCATAAGTTTTTTAGCTTCTACATTTCCCATACTATTCTTGTCTCCCCCCTATTTTCTACCTACCATCTATGCTACTTATTCTCTGTACCTTTCCCCCCTCTCTCTTTCTCCTACTCCCCTGTTGCTAACCCTCCATGTGATTGTCATTTCTGTGGTTCTGCTCCTGTTCTAGTTGTTTGCTTAGTTTGTTTTTGGTTTTACTTTAGGTGTGGTTGTTAATAATTGTGAGTTTGCTATCATTTTACTATACATGTTTTTTGTATTCTTTTTCTTAGATAAGTCCCTTTAACATTTCATATAACAAGGGCTTGGTGATGATATACTCCTTTAACTTGACCTTATCTGAGAAGTACTTTATATCTGTCCTTCCATTCTAAATGAAATCTTTGCTGGATAGAGTAATCTTGGATGCAGGTCCTTGTCTTTCATGACTTCAAATACTTCTTTCCAGCCCCTTCTTGCCTGTAATGTCTCTTTTGAGAAATCAGCTGACAATCTGATGGGAACTCCTTTGTAGGTGACTGTCCCCTTATCTCTTGCTGCTTCTAGAATTCTCTCCTTCATTTTAATCTTGGCTAATGTAATTATGATGTGCCTTGGTGTGTTCCTCCTTGGGTCCAACTTCTTTGGGACTCTCTGAGCTTCCTGGACTTCCTGGAAGTCTATTTCCTTTGCCAGAATGAGGAAGTTCTCCTTTATTATTTGTTCAAATAAGTTTTCCACTTGTTGCTTTTCCTCTTCCCCTTCTGGTACCCCTATTATTCTGATGTTGGAACGTTTCAAGATGTCCTGGAGGTTCCTAAGCCTCTCTTCATTTTTTTTCAACTCTTGTTTTTTCATTCTTTTCTGTTTGGTTGTTTCTTTCTTCCTTCTGGTCCACTCCATTGATTTGAGTCCCAGGTTTCTTCCCATCACTATTGGTTCCCTGTGCATTTTCCTTCATTTCACTTAGCATAGCCTTCATTTTTTCATCTAATTTGTGACCAAATTCAACCAATTCTATGAGCATCTTGATCACCAGTGCTTTGAACTGTGCATCTGATAGTTTGGCTATCTCTTCATTGCTTAAAAGTATTTGCTTTGGGGCTTTGATCTGTTCTTCTCTTTGAGCCATTTTTTTTTTGTCTTGTCACACCTGTTACCTATGAGGGGTGAAGCCTTAGGTGTTCACCGTGGTAGGTCAGCCCAGCCACTGAGTTGTGATGCTGTCTGTGGGGGCAGGGTCGGAGAGGGAACAATGGCACTTGCTCCGCACTCTGTCAGATTTCAGTCCCTTCTGCCGCTTCCCCCAAGCCAACTGGGCCTTTCTGGTGCTGATTCCCATGTGGGTGGGCTTGTGTACATTCTAGGACCCTGTGGGTCTCTCCAACAAACTCTCCTGTGAGGCTGGGAGTTCCTCCTGCTGCTTCAATCCTCACAGGTGTTTTAAGTCCATGTTCTGAGGCTTTATTTCCCTGCACTGGGGCTCTGGGCTGCTTGGTCTGTCTTGCTCCTCAGCTTCACCTGGTTTGTCTGCACACGAATGTGGGACTGCTTGGTCAGCCAGCTGCCCTGCAGGCCTCACTGGGTCTGCCTGCCACCTCCTGCATGACCCGGGGCCCATCAGCTGCTGTCCTGTGCACTGGGGTCTGCAAGCACCGCTTGTTTTTTGTTTTTGTTTTTGTTTTTTTCCTGTGACCCCTCTCTGCCTGACTCCACCCGGCTGCCCATCTCCGCCCCTTCTACCGGACTGGTTGAACCTGTCTAACTCCTTGGTTGTCAGACTTCCGTACAGTTCAATTTTCTGTCAGTTCTGGTTGTTTTTTGTTTGTTTGTTTCTAAATTTTTGTTGTCCTTAATTTGGTTGTGCAAGGAAGCATGGTGTGTCTACCTACACCTCCATCTTGGCTGGAAGTCAATGTACACTAATTTTTATTTAGCAAAAATTTACTAATGATCAATAGACCTTGTTTTCCACTAATATGATTATAAATATAAGTATGATTCAAAGCTGAATGTTCTAGCCTCTGGATAAAACAAAGAGAATTTGCTTATACATAGGGACCTAAATGTAACATTGTTTTTTTGATAAAAAGCAACATTCAAAATACATTTGGAACTAAATTTGAAGCAAAATATGAAAGATCATAGATAAAGACAATAATCTATTAATAAGTTAAAATTTTCAAATTTAGCAAATGGGTGACCTTTTATAAGTTAGCACTCTTTTATATTTAATTTTTCTCAGTTGAGTTTTTTTGCTGAATAGTGAAAATGCTGTTAAGCATTGTTATCCTGTAGTTTTTCTTAAATATTTTTTTAAGCTGGAGAAAGAGTGTTTTGGTATAAGCATAGTGATTAGGACTACCAAAGTTAAATGAGTAAGAAATATGTCTTACAAAAAATAATATAATATGTCAAATGCTCATAGTTTGAATTTTTCAATTTTAATTTTTGATGATTTAATGTAAATACTAATTGAGTTTGAAAATTACATTTGTATTTTGTGTATGTTTTCACAAGAGGCATTTGTAAATATTTGTATTTGTATTAATTGGGTTGGTGCCAACTGAATTCAAGAGTCACAGCCCCTTGGCTAGTCACTGTATCACAAGCACAGTGAGTTATGGATTCTAATCACTTTCCTTTAAAGCACCATTAATCAAAATTCTATCATTCTATGTTTCAATGTATTATTAGGTTTGTGCAATTAATGCCAAATTAAAAAATATATTAGATCTAGATAACATGTTAGCATGCAAGTTGGGAAAGTGACAAAAAATCTCCACTTAACCTTGAAGATGATGTCATTTGTATATTTTCTTTTAATAGTTTTTTTAACAAAAATTTTGCAAGTATTTTGTTCATTGGCTTTTAAACAGTTACCATATTTAGTAATAATCTTTTTAGATTAAAAAAGCCAGAAAGCAGAGGTCAAGAGCTTTCTTATTGATAATGGCAAAACATGTACTCAGTTTTATTCTGGATAGTAATAAATTTATTAAGCAACATTTATTCTATTGATCTTTGAAGGAAGAAGAGCCTAAAAGATTTTTAATATATATATATATATATTATTTTAATTGTTGTTGCAGTACAATTTTCTATCCTTTACTCCCATCCCAACCCACCCACCCAGCCTTCTCCTCCTCCCTCTCATTTCCACCCACCCCTAATTTTTATCCATGTGTCCCTAAGATTTTGTTTTACATGAAACAGAAAATCTCAAGTATACAAGATGACTTTGACATATAGAGATATAGTACAATAGTGTTTATAAGTTTGTATTTATATTTTCATTGTTACTATGTAGAATGCTTTATCAAATAGCTAGTAGAACTGTTAAGCAATTGACAATATATTTTATTATTTTTTAGATTGAATATGAATATACTAATTTATGTAAAGATTTATGGAAATCTTTTTGTGTGTGTGATTGTATAGTCCCAGTATCAGATTAAAGCACTAAAACCCACTTAAAGTTGGGGTTTAAGTACAGCTTCATTTTTTGCTCACGGTATAGACTTTTAGCCATTTGCCAGGCTTTGTACCAGTCAATACCATAAACCATCTCCTACTCTGGCCCTTCCTAGACTCTTCCCTTTAATGTAACACACAGGCCACCTTGGCTAAGTTTCTCCTTCTCCTGATAGCAATTTGGGAGATGTGGAGGTGAAAAGGACAGCAACCTTATCTTTTAGTAGGGGACCCAATACAGGAAATCATAGAAATATAAGAATGGATGGAATAGATATCATGAAATGTTGTAAAGAAATAGCTGGATGCCTGGAGGAGGAGGAGAAAGTCTGCCTTTGGGTAAATCTGGGAGAGCTTCTTAGAGGAGATAACTGTTCAGACATTTTTTTAAGGAGGGTGTGACCTGGGTAGGGGTGGGAAGGTGGAGGGAGCATTCCATGTGGAATTCACAGGGATAGTAACGGTTCAGAGGTGGTAAAGTAAAGGCTGGGAACAGAGAGTTAGAATGACTTCTGTGCTTCCCACATATGGTTTATGGAGGATATCAAGGGATAAAAATGGAAAGGCTAGGCGAAGGTTGTATTGTGGAGAGTTTTAAATATGATTACAGGATGCAATTATCCCATAGTCCTCAAGGAGCATCATCTGAGATGATTATCTCTGAGAGAATAAATTAATCAGGGCAATGTCTCAGCCTTAGTGCAGTTCAAGATACATTGGAAAGCAGGGTTGGACAAGGTTTCTGATTAGCTTCTCTCTCTGTTTTGAAGCTTGCTGCCTTATGTATTGCATCCTCTTGTGGCGAAAGCATGCATCACAAGCAAAGTTAACATGGTCACAGCGAGCTACATCACACCAGCGCTAAAGGAATTAGAAAAGAGGTAAGTTGCAGTCATTTTCAACGAGGAAGCTCCATGGCATTATTTTTACTTTACGTACACCTTTTCCTTCCTCCTCTTTTCACCTGTTGTAGTGTGGAAGATGCTGGCATCACTGTCATCGGTGAACTGGGACTGGACCCGGGTCTTGATCATATGCTGGCAATGGAAACAATAGATAGAGCCAAAGAAGTGGGAGCCACGGTGAGCCTCAGGGACACGCGAAGTTTCCCTTAGCAAAACATTCAAAGGTCCAGGTTTCCATGCTCAGAAATAAACTTTGTATAATTTTGACTAAATGTGTTGCTGTAATCTAGCTCATACTTTTGAGCAGAAATTTCTGTGTGGTAAAACCATGTCCAAGTCTTAGCAGTAAATTTTTATAGACATAGATGCTGCTGTAATATTTTGGTTGACTAAAGGATTTTTGAGTGCCTTAAATATTCTGTAATAAGATCTGACTTGTAAAAGTGGAAAAAGTTCTTTACAATATCATTTATCTGTTGGTACATGGTATGTTTTTATACATGAGAAGGAACTTTTGAACAGTAAATGTGAAGAATCAGATTAAATGCTTTAGGTTTTGTGCATGTAATATATATAATGAAATATAGATTTGAATGAATTATAATTATATATTAACTATATGTCATGTATTGATGAATTTATATAAATTGCATATTATAATATATGTAATAAAATTATAATCCAACATACAATTTGAATGCAAAATTTAGGAGGAACTGATAAGTCAGAACTGAATTAATAGTTACATTTTCTAACTGAATGAAATGGTCGTAGCAATCTCTAAAAGGCTTTTTAAAAATTAGTTTACACAAAATATAACTGTGGTTTAATCATATGGTGTTTGTCTTTAAGGACACATTTTGGGAAGTCTTAGAAAGGAAAAACTGTTGCAAGTTTACCCCATGCCTATCATTACACTCAATTAATTACTTAGATACATTGTTCTCCCTAATTTATTGTTAACCCTCCCTAATTTATTGATTGTTTATTTTACAGATTGAATCTTACATTTCCTACTGTGGTGGGCTCCCAGCCCCTGAACATTCAGACAACCCTTTGAGATACAAGTTCAGCTGGAGTCCAGTGGGAGTTCTGATGAACATAATGCAGCCCGCCACCTACCTGCTCAATGGAAAGGTGAGGCAGTCCCATCAAAGTTCTAGATGCAAATCTGCAGTAACCACCTGAGACAGTACAGGCTCTTTCTCCCTGATACTGTGGCCCTTTAGGACTGGCTACACTGCCTGTGCTCCACCCTCATTCTTTTGATGATTCCCAGTGTGTATTTTCCGTTCCATTTGGTCACCTCACCATTCCCAGCATGGCCTGTGCTCATTTTTCCTCTTCTTGTAAGTTGTTTCCACATTTGGAAAACTCACTTCTCAACTTCTCTGCATGTGTAAATACCAGTCATCTTGTGGCAAGCAATTTCTGAGTCCCTACTGTGTGCTGGCTTTGGGGCAAGTCTCCAAAGGTTGTCTCCTGAAGGAAGTTCCTGACCTCAGAGAATTCGCAGCTGGAATGGGGGTGACTCTGGGAATGGAGGGTTTTGTGGGTCAGGGAAAGGATCTTTTATTTCCCCAGCTGCTGTGCACCAGAATGTAAGCATTCTCTGAGTTTAGTGCTATTTTCATCATTATAAAATGATGGAATATAAAATAAGGAAACTTTGGCTTAATAAAGCGAATGTTAAGATCATTCAGCTGGGGTTCAAACCCAGGTCTAACAAACCAGATTCCTTCTTTCCCCCTTTACCACTCACCTTAGAGCAGGAGAGACAGACGCTGGAATGACAGCTACTATCCCGTAGGGCAGTTCCAAGGTGTGCTGAAGTGCCAGACAGAGCAGATGAGAGGACAGTTGATTTGACCTTGGCGCAAAGGTACAGAGAAGAAAATCAGCAGAGAAAAGACAATGTGCTTGACCTTGAAGGATAAGAAGCTGCCAGCCTGGCAGGTGGGCTGCCCCTCCTGACTGTGCTAAGCAGTGCCTTCATTTGATTCTTACAACAAGCCTGTCAGGTTTATAAGGCAGAAAACAGGCATAAGAAGCTTATCTTACAGCCACAGTTAAAGAGGTTGCAAATGGAACAGCCAGTGTTCAAATCACATCAGGCTGCCTTGTGGTTTATTTTCTTAGCCTAAGGAAAGCCTCAGACTTTGGAAAGAATGTGACTAGAGTGAAGGATTCTCTTTACATTTTGTGATGAAATGACCTCCCTCTGTAATCTCTTCCTAGTCCTGGCCCTGCAGGGAGAGATGAGTTATGTGATCACATGTGTGTCTTAAAAGCATTATTCTGACAGGAGTATTATAAACTCTCAGTGTATCTGTGAATCTAAATGTATTTCATATACAAAAGGGAACAGTGAAAGTTTCTTCAGAATTGAGGTGGATGTTGCTACCAGCCGTGGTCTTCTGAGCCTATGGTGGAGAGTGTGGCTCACAGCCTTTCTGCTCATTGGAATCACCAGAGATGTTTACAAAATCGCAGTGTCTGGGCCCTACTCACAGAGCCCAATTCACCTGAGTTGTGGGAGCCTTAAAAACTCCTGAAGTGATTCTAACGTGCTGCTGAATCTGAGAACTGACTTAGTGACCAGAGGACCACAGTTTCACTTAAGACCCTACCAAACAGACAAGACATTTAAATTTGTTGCTGGGAAGATACTCTCAACATGTTTCAGGATATGAAATGGGACCCTTGAGTTCTGGTCCAAGAGGTGGCATCCCAGACAATGTCACCAAAGGCCAGACAATTGTCAAGGTCCTCTGGGTGTCAGTCTCCTGATGTGTAATGTGAGCACCAATATTCCTCTAGTTCCCCAGTTCTGTGAATCATGAAGGTTTGGGCAAGAAACCCAGCCTGATGTTCTACCAAGCACACATCTTTTATCTGCCACAGCCTGTCTCCTGATGTCCTTTTACCTCTGCTGTCCTAGAAAAGACATTGGCCTAACATGTAAATGCAAGAAAAAGTTTTGCTTCATTTTGGCAAAATGCTTATTTTCAAGAGGCCATGTAAGTGATAAAGATGGTAACAGTGAGAGGGTCAGCAGGGTGCAGCCCATAGGACAAGGGATTCAGTGTCCGTTTGCCTGGCTTTGCGCTCTAGCTCTGCCCTCACCAGCCGGAAGCACGAGAGCAGTCTGTTTCTCTCTGAGCTTTGGGATGCATGTCTGGAGATTAACACCATGACTCCAGTCCTACAGGGTTCCTGCTGTGGGCTCCATGAGGTCACGTAGACTATAGTCTGCTTAAGAGCAGATTGTCAGGCATGTCGTAAGTCCCTAGCAAATATCAGTGACCTAAAAATATTGATGGTGAGGAGAGCTCAGGGAAAGCAGAAGTTTATATTCAGGCAGCAGAAGCTGTATTTCTTGAAGTTTTGCCCTTTCATCCTAAGCTCCTTTTGCAAAAAGGTGCTTCTTTGCATTGCCCTGCCTCTGTGGAGACACCGAGAGAAAACATGTTGCTTTTCTCTGCTAAAATGATATATTTTCCACTTCCTGCTCAAGCTTCCTCTTGTGGATGCATCTTTCCCTGACCACTCCTGCCCCCATTCACTGTTTTTTTGTCTGAACTCCCACACTTTGTCTGTGTCTAAGAATTTTCCTGATGCTGTATTGTTCACTCAGTAATTCAAGTGCATCAGTCTGTCTCGCAACCCAGAAGCCTCCTTTGTGTTCGGGTTCCTCCATCCCCCTGTGACTGTGGAGCAGCCCTTACCTGATTCACAGAATCATAAAGGGGAGTCAGGGGTCCTCTGGCTTCTGTTTAAAGTGGGAGACTTCAACTTTTCCAGCGATTTAGACAATGGCTTATGAATTAGGACGTGTCTCCTTGCCCTACCTCCTTGCAATAATTTCCAGCCATTACTATTTCCAACTTCTAATTGTTTCTAATAATGCTTGATTTTCTTCCACATCTCTGGAGACAGTGGTTGTGTCTTCTCTTAGTTCTGTCCCCTTTGTGAGTGATGGGACACTTTCCTATAATGGTGGCACCTGGGAATGACATGGCAGAGCCTCTCCATCAACCTCTGTCACAGCTTTTACTTTTAAGCTACTGCCAGCTAAACAAATACTCTGAGTCAGGACCATGCTTACTCTGCAAACACAGCTTTGAGATAGGTTTTCTAGCCCTCAAGTTGGCCTGAAAGTCAAGTTTACCTTGAAGGCCACACCCAGCCCCTCCTTTGTAGGAAATTCAATTTCAGTAAGTGTTGTCATAAAGTTGTGTGTAAACTAAAACAAATGTTTTTGAAAAGAAAAAAGAAAAAACCAAGAGTTGCCACTGCTTTCCATTGCCTGCAACCATGCTTACTATAATGCTTAGACCCAAAACTGGCACAATCTAGAATGCTATACCTTGTCAGTCAGTACCACCTTTAAGATATTGATCCAGAGGTAAGCACGATTAAAGGTATAAATACGGTTTAGAAAAAATAACATGGACATTGGAGTCATGTAGACCTGAGTCCTTCTGTGCCTCTGGGTGACTCAGCCCCAGTTTTTACCTGTGAAAAATGGGTTATTGTATGGGATAAAGGTAAGGTTTATAAGGCACCTAACACACAGTGGGTTGTGAGTAAATGATTATCTGTAAATTTCCTGTGTTATATTTTTTGTTTAACAATCAAGCTTATCATCAGTCCTCATTGGTTGGGAGATGTGTGTGTAAATGAAAGAGAATTGAACATAGAGCAGACAGCAAGAGCAGTGAGTAGTGAGCTACCGTTTCTGCCGGGAGAGGGTTTTCCATGGGAGCATTGCCAAAGCAGAAAAAATGTCTATTCTCTGCCAAATAGATAAATCTGCCCTACTGTCTTCATCCAAGTCATTAATAAAATACTAAACAAGATAGGGCTTATTAACGAAGTGCATGCTATGCCACTAGAAATAAAACTCCGAGTTGATATCAAATGGTAATGATTACCCAGTGCTTTTTGGGTCAAGTTGCTTCAGCAGCCTTCAATGTCACTAAAGGAGCATTACCATTCAGCTTACATTCCCATGTTTTGTTCACAAGGATCTCATAGTGGACTTTGGCACCGATTGATTTATTTCTGACTAGTTAATTGCTGGAGTATAGTGGTCTGTATTGAGTTTTTTAAAAAAATTTCCATAGGTTATAGAAATGAGTAAGTGTGGAGACGCTAAAGGTTAACAAGTACCTTCGTAATTGCTTTTTCTTTAAAATTTGTAATCCTGATAGAAGAAATTTGTTTTAAAGAAAGAGTGCAGAAATGGTTACTGTGCAGTCCGAGTTTCATAGGAACACTAAATAAAAAGCATTTATCCCGTCCTTTAAATGATCACTCCTGGAATTTTAGATGGTGTTGGGCATTCTGCGGAGTGAGCCTTTGAAATGGAGAGACTCTGTGAGGCCTGCCTCTACAGTCAGCCTAGTGCATTTCCTTCTGGGGCTTCAGCTGTAGAGAGGCATATGTTTCCATTTTGTCATTTGTACCAAGGCACATGCAGAGTCTGTGTGCAAATAAACTCTGAAATCCTTTAGGTTACCTGGAGATTCCTCAGGGCGAATCCCTCGGAATCCACCTGAAGGCACATTGATGGCTCCCAGGGGAGGGGTGGTGCTGTGCTGCTGTACACACGTGAGCAGGGATTGTTTGCCGAGGGACAAGCAGGACAAAATCCAGTTCCACCAGTAGTCACACCCTCCCCTGGAATCTCAGCCCCATCTTCCGTTATCTCAAGGATGATCGTATACTTCACCAGCTAAAACAAAAACTTAGTTCTTTAACCAAATGTTTTAAAAAATGCTTCACTGCATTTGGAGTGTGTGCTAAGGGGAGGGGTGTGGGTAAGAGGATTAATGAGAAATCACAATAGCTTGGGAATCAGGGATTTAACTTCTTCCCAGCAGTAAGATTATGGGTAGCACTTTCTGGTTTCACTGTATGTTCACTGCATTGCCTTTCTTGTGAGGGGTCACCTCTCCCATTCGTTGTCCCCAAAGTGTACTGTAGGTCGACTAGTCTAGGCTGGGTGGTCCTTATTACTGTGCCAGCACAGCTCCTGGCACTGTGCCTACGTTCAGGAAATGTTTGTTCAATGAATAAAGGGGTGAATGGAGTCAGGAACTGTATCGTATTCATCATTCTTTTCCCTCTGCAATGAGTGGGATCTGGGCACACAGATAGCTGGTCAGTAAATGCTAGCTGTGAGAATCCAAGTGCAAGGCTGGCGCCTGATGTGGACTCAGTGGCGGGGGAGGGTGGGGAGTGTGGGGGTGCAGGGTGGTATGAGTAAGAAAAAGAGCAGTGAGAATATTGCCATTGCTCTTTGAGCACAGAAGTCATTTCAATGATTGTTGCTTTTAGATGATTGTTTTTTTTTAAAGCTCCACTGGGACATAATTCAGTTCCATCTTATCCAGGGGCAAGAAAAAATAGAGAAAACAAGATCTTAGTACAAAACTAAATGCTTAAGTCAGATTTTCAAGTTTGAGAGAAGAGGGGAAGGTAGTTGTGGTGAGGGTGGATTGGATAAAAGGAGTAATATATGTGCTAGCGGAATAAAACTAGACTTTTGCTGGTATGCATACAATGGAGGACATGATATTGAAATAAAATGTTATAAATCTGAAATTTATATACTATTATTTACCAATTGTTACCTCAAATTTAATAAAAATTAAAAAATAACATAAAGCTTGAGAGAATGATAGCCTTGTGAACTATACTAGTGGAAAAGCTTGAGTATGGAATATTGATTAGTAGTTTCAGTAAAAAAGTTTTTTCCAAATCCTTTATTGCTTTCTTTTGAAACTTGGATTTCTTTATTATGCAAATAACAGAGAAACCTAAGGGGAATACAGCATTGTAACCCCAGTGTGCCTTTTCAATGTTCCTCAGGTGGTGAATGTTGCCGGGGGCATCTCCTTTCTTGATGCGGTCACTCCCATGGATTATTACCCTGGATTAAATTTGGAAGGCTATCCCAACAGAGACAGTACAAAATACGCTGAGGTTTACGGCATTCAGTCTGCTCACACTTTGTTGCGGGGGACACTGAGATATAAGGTAAGTGGCTGTATTTTAGATGAAACACGTGGCCTGTTTTGGTGTGATTATTTTTCTCAGTTTAAAACAATTAGGCCCTGGCCTGGTGGCTCAGTTGGTTGGAGTGTCCTTGTCACCTGCCCCCACCCTATACCCTCTATACTCCCAGCCCCCTTACCTCAATGCACCAGAAAGTTGCAGGTTTGATTCCTGATTCGGGCGCATTCCTAGGTTGTGGCTCCCATCTCCAGTCTTGGTCAAGGTGTGTACAGGAGGTGATCGATCCATGTTTCTTTCACATTGATGTTTCTCTCTCCCCCGTTTCCTCTCTCCCTAAAAAGTAAATAAATAATTAATGAATATGATAGTCCAGGTTGGAGTCTGTTTCCTCAGGACTCTTGATTGGGAAACACTAGGAGACAACTCAAAATGACTTGAGCAAAAGGGAATTCTTGACTCATGAGCTGTGGAGACAGGCAGAGGACCAGCTTCCATGTAATGAGCTTGGGGGAGGGGGTCAAGTGACCTCACCGGGACTTGGACCCTCTTCACTTCTCAGCTCTTCCTTCAAGTAATAGCAACAATCCCAGGCTCCCACGGTGGCAGGATGGTCATAGCATCTCCAACCACTTAGGTTTTCATTCCAGTGAGAATGAAAAAGTGCATCTTCTTTGTATGTAAAAATGTAGTTTTTAATCCCTGAGATCAGTGGGTTAAAATGTGCCATCAGCTTTGCCCTCCTTTTCTTCCCCTAAAGCTGTAGATGTATTCAGCATCGCTTTTCTCAAAACAACATCTTTTTACCACAAAATGAGGTGTAGATTCCAGTTGTATAAATACAAATGTCAACTACACATTTATTAATCACAAAAGAGAAGTTACAAGTGTGATCAGATGAAGACAATCAGTGAAAGAGTCTCCCAGAGTGTTTATAGCAAATTAATACAAACTGAGTGGCTTAAAAGAACCAAAAAGCATTTTCTCATCATTCAGGAGCTCAGAAGTGTGAAATAAAAGTTTGGGCAGAGTTGGCTCTTCTGGAAGCTTTTAGGGACAAACTGCCCCACGCCTTTGAGGCTTTCCATACCATGTTATTTCAAAGCACAACTCCATCATACAGGACGTTTCCTGCCCCTTCCCTGGGTGAGGTGGGCACCAGGAGTCAGGCAGTACTGGTGGTGTTATGCACGTGTGTGTGAAAGGGAGTAACTGAGAAAGTTACTGTAAGAGCCGAGGTCATTTCCACGGTGCCGACACATGAAGACTGGCTTCTGGTTTGTCTGTTTCTCCATGTCAGACACCTATTTATTCTTAAAGAGATGACAACCACTATGTTTCTTGCTCTTTAGAGTTTCTGTTTCATTTGCTGGCACTTAGCATTTACGGCCAGCATTTCTAGGTATATTTTCTGTGTATATTTCTTATCTCCTGAAATATATTTTAACCCCCTGGAGGGCAGGTATGTCCTGTTGTGAATGTGATGTCCACACTGTCCAGGATTCACCTGAGACGCCTGGGCCAATCAACTGAGGAAGCGTGGTGCTCCACACGCCTTTAGGCACAACAGGAAATCTAGTCTGAACTGAAGCCAAACCAGCCCCAGCTCAGGCACATTTCTCGGTTCTGTTTCTTCAGTTTTTTTCTAAGAATATAAGTAGGAACCTTTTGAGGGATGTGGTTCAAGAATTAGGACTTTTTGTTGCCTTTAGGTACAGACTCTTGCCAATTGTGAGTGCCCAGAAACAGAAAATCTGAAATGAATTAAGAATTGAACCGAGCACTCGAGTGTATGGCTGAGAGCCATAGAACTCTGAACCCTGAAGGATGAAATGTGTCACAGTGTTCAGATGCACGAAGGCCACCATCCTGACCAATGTCAGCAACCCTTTCACAGCCTGACTATTCTTTCCAGTATTAGAGACAAGACACTATCATCCCAGTGTGACAGGGACACACTTGGTTACTCTCCTGTACCTGCCTGTCACCTGATTGTTCTTGCAGATTCAACTTGGGATCTTAACTCCTCTTTGAGTCCCCTCCCCCACATCTATGTGAGTGTCCCCTCCTCTGAGCTCCCATAGCCCTGTGTTTACCTCTGTCACAGCACGTGTGATGTTCTACTGCAGTGTGGTCAACCCGGGTCATGCAGCTTTGCTCACTATGTGCTGGGCAGTTTTTTCATTTGACTTACCTGACTTTTCTGCTGCCTGCAGTTTCCTCATGGGTGAGGACTGCATTTTTCATCTCTGTGCACAAGTCTGACACATGGCAGCTATTTGCTCATGAATGAATGAATATGTGCAATAAATTCACCTTTAGAGGTTAGCGTAAAATATATTTCTCAGTTTAAGAAATAGCTCAGAAAAGTCTCAGTATTTGATGTGCTCGATGAAGGAACTGCTGCCACTGATCAGATTCTAGAAGCAAGCTTGTGGTTTGCTTTTTTGTTTCTCCTCTTTGAAGTATATTTGCATTGGATTAAGCCACATAATTGCGAATTGTTTTACTAGTAACCTTTGAGCAGTTTGAATCACATAACCTTTAAGAATGTAAAAATTACTAGTTGGTCACACATTAAATGGTGAACTATCCTATGACCACAGAAACTCATGTATTAATACATTTCTTCTTAAAATAATTTTACATGTTTTTCTTTGTCTTTCTGCTCTATCTCTTCTACCTCTCTTGGTCTCTCTCTGTCTCTGTAATTTCAGCAGATACGAAGTCCCTTATTTTGCCCTCCTCACCCAATTTGCTCACAGGAGAACCTACCCTTATGGTCTTCAATCACTACATCATCATTCAGAATCTATTCATCCAGTCATTTGTTTTCTTTCCGCTTACTGGAATGATAGATAATTGGGCAAGGGCAAGGGGATAAATCACACACACACACACACATACACACACACACAATTTCTATACTTACAGTCCAGCAGCTGAATAGATGATTACAATTTGTGTCAAGTCCCATAATAGAAATATGTACAAAGTGCTACTGGAATACAGAGAAAAAGGCAGTGCCCATTCCCATAGAGGGCTCAGTAGCTACACTGAGCTGGGTCTTACCGGGGAAGCAAACATTTCAGTGGTAAGGGACACTGGCTCCCACATTCCAGACACAGGGGCAGCACGCTCAGAGGCCCAAAGCTCTGGCAGAGCACAGCATGCTTGCAGAATGGTAAGTGGTGCAGATGAGGATGAGTGAGTCAGGCTGGGGGCATATTAGGATGGGTTTATATAATATGCCAAGGACTTCAGACTTGTCCTATTGACAATGAAGAACACATGACTAATTTTTATCACATTTATAAAATTTTAGAAAAGTCTTTCTGATCTACCTTTTCCTTTCCTGCTCTCTACATGCATTGGAATAGTGGCTCTTAATCATTGGAATGGATTGTGTGCTTTTGGGGGCTATTCTTACAAGCTTCTGCTTCCATTATGAGAAAGAACAACTGCTCTATTGAATGCTGCCTGCTGAACTGAAAGCATATGAGAAAAATGAAACTTGCCCTTATGCTGCCAGAAAATACCACTCAATGAACTCAGAAACAGAAATAAAGAGCCACGTTTCACAGGGTGTCTTATGTAAACCAGTGGAATTGTTGTGACACTATTGATTTTGTTTTGAACTTGAAGGAGGTTTTATTCACAGAAGCAATGCAAATAAATCTTTCAGCCTGTTTTCTAAACAACTTGTAAAGATAGACCTCTCTTTCCAAACAAAACAAAACAAAACAAAACAAAACACTTTGCTAGACAAAGAACACGTATAAATGACCCATGGACATGGACAACAGTGTGGGAATTGACTATGGGAGTTGGGGTTGGGGTGGGCAGTGGAGGGCAAAGAGGAAGAAATTAGGACAAGTGTAATAGAATAACAATAAAAATGATTTAATAAAAAAGAAAAAAACAAAAATATTTTTCTTCGAAGAGAAAATTTTAGTATACTGTTTAATTATTCTCATTCCAGGGATATGCCAAAGCCTTGAATGGATTAGTGAAGTTGGGTCTTATAAACAGAGATGCATTTCCTGCCCTTCGACCTGAGGCCAAGCCTCTCACCTGGGTGAGTGACCCCAGAATTACACGTTGTCTTCTGCTCTGCAGAAATGTCATTCAGGTTTGGATTTTGGTTTGGACCAGTGAAAGAACCCATTCTGCAGCTACACACAGGAAGATAAACCTTAGTCCCAAGACCCCTTTCCCTTCCCTGTGTGGGAGGATGGAGAGAACATGGAGGCTGGCACCCCGGACCTATTCTCTCAGCAACTTCTACCACTTGATGGCTCCCTCAGCCTCAGGAATGGACTTGCTGTCTACACCAGGCTCTGGCTCTGCTACTGGCCCATGTGGTGACCCAGTGAGAGGAGTTAAGTTTGGGCCTCCTGAGACTGGTAACACAGGACAGCTGCTGGTGATGTCACAGAACTGGGTTCCTAATCTGCAGATCCCATCAGTTCTTTCATTTGGCCATGTGTAACCATGAGTAATTTGAGTTTTCAGTTTCTGAGTTCATCCTCCTATCTGTGTTGTATTAGTATCCTGGAGGCTCGGGGTTGGAAAGGACTTGGGAGGCTGGGAGCTAAATGTAAAGTAGATCTTCCACTATCTGCCAGAAATTAACTTGCTATTAGCTGGTCATACAACTTAAATTAATGTGCCCATATTCCAATAGAAAATGTCAGAAATTTATCACAGGGAGAAAAAAAATCAATATTCCTAATCCCAATTAGTCTTTCAAAGAAACTTTGGTTTTCTTGCTAGTCAGTTGCTTTATAATTCAGTTTTTATTTTCTAAAATATTTTGCTGTCCAAATTTTACCTTCTATAAATATACTTGTTAGACAGAAGTGAATAAGTATCTATAGGCTGAACCTTGGGGTGAGGCAGCTGCATTGGAATGGCTGGTACAAGGTTTCTTATGGCTTGTCCTTGTATCTTAGTAGTTACCATATAGAATAGTGGTTTGCAAACTTTTTTTTTAAAGACCGATTGAAAATGTATTAGACTTTATGGGCCATTTGGTGTCTGTCAGACTACTCAAGTCTGCCATAGACAATACATAAAGAAATGAGCAACTTCCAATAAAACTTTTTATTTGCAAAGCCATGTGGTAAACTCAATTTGACCTGTGAACCAGCTTGATTATCCTTAATTGAGTATAACTTTTTCCTTGGGAGCCTGGAAAAAGTCTTGTTTACAAAGTAGAAAATGCTATGACCACTGTTTTAACTTTTTTTCCTTTGAGGTTTTTTTAAAATTAAATTTATTTGGATGACACTAGTCACTATGGTTATATACGTTTCAAGTGTATGTTTCTGTGATACATGACCTGTACATTGCCTTGTGTGCTCACCACCCAAAGTCAAATCATCTTTAGTCATCTTGATTTGCGCCCCTTTACTCTTTACCATGCCCTTTGGTAACAACCATACTGTTGCCTGTGTCTGTGACTTTCAGTTTTATCTCCCACATACAAGTAAAATCATGTTTCCTAGTTTTTTTCTAACTTATGTTGATTAGCATAATATTCTCAAGATCCATCCATGTTATTGCAAATGGCAGCATTTCCTTTTTTTTATGACTGAGTAGTATTCCATAATATACAAGGACCATATCATACTAATCCAATCTGCTATTGAGGACACTTTGGTTGTTTCCATGTCTTGGCCAATGTGAATAATGCTGCAAAACATAGGGGTGCATATATCTTTGCAAATACATGTCTTTGAGTTTTTTGTGTAGATTCCCAGAAAAAAGATTGTGGGGTCCTATGATAACCCTATTCTTAATTTTTTCAGGAACTGCCATATATTTTCCATGTTGGCTCTACCAGTTTACATTCTCACCAGCAGGGAATGAGGGTTCCTTTTTATTCACAGCATTTCTAACACTTGTTATTACTGGTATTGTTGATGGTAACAATTCTAATAGGTGTGAGGTGATATCTCATTGTTTTGATTTGCATTTTCTCTACTAGCCAGCAATGCTGAACATTTTTTTCATATGTTCGTTGGCTGTTTCTATGTCCTCTTGGGAAAGGTGTCTCATTCAGGTCTTCTGCCCATTTTTTAATTGGATTGTTTGGCGTCAATTTTGATGAGTTTGCGGTTTTGAATATTAAGACCTTGTTGGAGCTGTTGTTTGCAAATATCATCTCCCATTTTGTTGGTTACATTTTTGTTTTGTTAGTGGTTTCCTTTGCTGTGCAGAAGTTTTTCATTTAATATTGTCCCATTCATTTATTTTTGCCATTACTTTTGCCTTTCGGGTCAAATTCATAAAATGTTCTCTACAACCAAGGTCCATATGTTTAGTGCCTATTTTTTCTATGTAGTGTATTGTTTCAGATCTTATATTTTGGTATTTCATCCATTTTGAATTAATTTTTATACATAGAGTCAAAGTGTAATCTTGTTTCATTCTTTTGCATGTAGCTTTCCAGTTTTCCCAGCACCATTTATTGAAAATGCTTCCTTATCTTCATTGTTAGTTTTTGGCTCCTTTGTCAAAAATTATTTGCCCTTACACCTAAGGTTTTCTTTCTTGGCTCTCAGTTTTATTCCATTGGTCAGTGTGTCTGTTTTTCTGTAAATTCAGTGCTGTTTCGATTATTGTTGCTCTGTAGTATAATTTTTTAGTCAGGCAGTATAATATCTTCAGCATCATTCTTTTTTTCTTAGGATTGGTTTGGCTATTTGGGATCATTTATGGTTCCATATAAATCTGATAATTTTTTGTTCTATTACTTTAAAAAGTGACATTGGGATTTTGATGGTTATTGCATCAAATCTGTATATTGCCTTGGGTAACATAGCCATTTTAATTATGTTAATTCTTCCAAATAATGAACACAAAATATCTTTCCATTTTATTGTGTCTTTTTAAATCTCTTTTAATAACTTTTTGTAGTTTTCAGTATATAGGCCCTTCATATCCTTTGGTAAGTTTATTGCTAGGTATTTTATTTTTATGGCTGCAATTGCAAAAGTAATTATTTTTTATTTATTTTTCAGAAGTTTCATTGTTAGTATATAGGAAAGCAGTGAATTTTTGTATATTGATTTTGCATCATGCAGCTTTATTGTGTTTGTTTATTTCTAATTGTTTTTTGGTGGAGTCTTTAGGGTTTTCTATATACAGAATCATGTACTCTGCTAAAAGTAACACTTTTACCTCTTCCATCTCAATTTGGATAATTTTTATTTGTTTTTCTTGCCTTATTGCTCTGACTATGACTTTGAGAACTGTGTTGAGTAAAAGTGGTGAGAACAGTCATCTTTGTCTTGTTCTTGATTTTAGAGGAAAAATTTTCAGTTTTTTTGCCATTGAGTATGATACTGGCTGAAGATTTGTTATATACAGCCTTTACTATGTTGAGGTTCTTTCTTTCCATACCCATTTTATTGGGTGTTTTAATCATAAATAAATGTTGTGTCTTATCAAATGCTTTTTCTGCATCTATTGTTAAGATCATATGACTTTAATTTTTGTTTTGTTAATGTGTTGTACTACATTGATTGATTCACATATATTGAACCATCTCATGTTCCCAGAATGAACCCCACTTGATCATGATGTATTATGTTTGACTGTATTGTTGTATTCAATTTGCTAGTATTTTCCTTAGGATTTTTGCATCTGTATTCAAAAGAGATACTTAACTATAGTTTTCTTTTCTTTTTTTAATCTTTTTTGTTCTCTTTGTCATGTTTTTGTATTAGGGTTATGTTGGCCTCATAAAATGTGTTAGGAAGGATTGTCTTTTCAGTTTTTTGAAATAATTTGAGAAGGATAGGTTTTAAATATTCTTTTAATGTTTGGTAGAATTCACTGGTGAAACCATCTGGTTCTGGGCTTTTAGTTTTGGGAGGTTTTTGATGGTTGTTTCAATTTCCTCACTGTTTATTACTCTATTTAGATTTTCTAATTCTTCATGATTCAATCTAGGAAGTTTATGTATTTTTAGGACCTTATTTAATTTTTGTAGGTTGAATTTGGTCACACATAGTCTCTCACAATGTTTTAGTTTAATTCTTTGTATATTTGTGATATCTGTGGTAACTTCTCTTCATTTCTGTTTTTGTTTATGAGTATTTTTTCTTTTTTCTTTAGTGAGTCTAGCCAGGGGTTTGTAAATTTTATTAATCTTTTAAAATTTAAAAAGAACCAGCTCTTTGTTGTATTAATTTATTGTATAGTCTTTTTGTTTTCTATTTTATTCAATTCTGCACTTAAATAATAAATTAATTGTTATTAATTCTTTTCTTCTGTTGACTTTGAGTTGCTTTTGTTCTTCTTTTTCCAGTTCTTTAAGATGTAATGTTAGGTTGTTTCCTTGGGATTTCTCTTGTTTCTTGAGATAGGTTTGTAATGATATAAACTTCCTTTCTATTACTGCTTTTGCTGCATTTCAGAAGTTTAGATATATTGTATTGTCATTCTCATTTGTCTCTATCTTTTGAGCTCACTTGTTATTTCTTTTTAATCCATCATTTTTTAGTAGGGTGCTCTTTAATTTCCACATATTGGTGGGTTTATTTATATTCTTTTTGCAGTTGACTTTTTATATCAAAGTATATGGTCAGAGAATATGCTTGGTATATTTTCAATTTTCTTGAATTTATGGAAGCTACGTATGTGACCCAACACATGGTCTATCTTTGAGAATGTTATATGTTCACCAGGGAAGAATGTATAATCTGATGTTCTGGGATAAAATGTTCTGTTGATGCTAATTATGTACATTTGATCTAATGTGTGATTTAAAGCTGATATTTATTTATTGATATTCTGTTTGGATGATCTATCTAGGGTTGCCAATGGAGTATTAAGGTCCCCAATTGTCATTATGTTCTTATCTTTATCTCCCTTTAGTTCTGTTAGTAGTTGTTTTATATATTTTGGTGCTTCCTGATTGGGGTGCATATATTAAGAAGTGTTATGTCTTCTTGATGTAGTGTTCTTTTTATCATTATAAAATGTCCATATTTGTCTCTTGTTACCTTTATCTTGAAATCTATTTTTACCTGTTTTTCTGTGGATGTTATGTGCTTGGAGAATCATTTTTCACCCTTTCTCTTTGAGTCTAACTTTATCTTTGCAGCTAAGTTGTATCTCCTGAGGGCATAATATGTTTGGGTTTGTTTTTGATCCATTTTGCTACCCTGTATCTCTTTATTGGTGAATTGAGTATATTTACATTTTGGGTAATTATAGAAGTGTGAGGATTTTTGTATAGCCATTTTACCTTTTGTTTTCTGGTAGCTCTGTGCCTCAGTTGATTCTTTCACTTTGTATTTCCATCTCTTGTTGTTGTGTTGGTGGTATTGCATATTTCTTTCCTCTTTTTTAAGGCAATGTGCCTCACTTTTAGGTTTTTGTGTGTGGTTACAATTAGGTTTATGAAAAAGAAAGTTGTGCAGATAACAGGAGTTTTTTTTTTATTTTGAATGCATCTGATCTCCATTCTCCCTTGCAAATTCAGACTTTTACCCTTCCCCCTTTTATGCTTTTATTGTCACACATTACTGTGTTTTGTGCTGTTTGTTGTTGATCTTACTCATATTTTTGTTACCTTTTGTTCTTTGTTTAGAGGAGAATAACCTAAGTGTTTCCCACAGGGAAACAGGAGGTCTTCTGGTGATAAATTCTCTCAGCTTCTGTATGTCTAGAAAGTCATTTATTTCTCCTTCATATCTAAAGGATAACTTTGCTGGATATATTATTCTTGGATGGTAATTTCTCTCTTTCAGCAGTTTGAATATTTGGTTCTACTACCTTATGGCTTGTAAAGTTTCTGCTGAGAAGTCAGGTGATAACATAATGGGCATTCCTTTATAGATTATTTTCTTCTTTTCCCTGGCTGCCTTGAGAATTCTTTTTTTGTCATTAATTATTTTACAGTTTTAATACAATGTACCTTGAAGACGGCCTTTTTGGATTAAAGTAACTAGGTGTTCCATTTGCTTCTTGGATTTCAAAATCTATCTCTTTCCATAAGTTTGGGAAGGTCTCATTATTTATTTGTTTGAATAAGTTGTTTGTTCCTTCCTCTCTTCTTTTTCTGGTATGCCTATTATTCTCATATTGTGTTTTCTGATGGAGTCAGATAGTTATTTTAGAAGCTCTTTCATTTTTTTAATGCTCAAGTCTCTCTATTTTTTTCCTCTGCATCATTTCTAGATTCCTATCTTTAATATTGCTAATCATTTCCTCCAGCTATTTCCTATGTTTGCTAGTTGATTTTTATCTCTTTTATTGGATTTCTCATTTCCAGAATTTCTTTTGGTTTATTTTTAAAGTTTCAATCTCTTTGGTAAAGTACTTGTTTTGTTTATTAATTTTTTTTGAGTGCACTAAATTGCCTGTCTGGCCCTGGCTGGCGTAGCTCAGAGGACTGAGCATGGGCCTGAAAACCAAAGGTTTGCCAGTTTGATTCCCAGTCAGGGCACATGCCTGGGTTGTGGGCCAAACCCCTGGTTGGGGGCATGTGAGGGGCAGCCACACATTTATTTTTCCCTCCCTCTCTTTCTCCTTCCCTTCCCCTCTCTCTAAAAAATAAATAAAATCTTTTTAAAAATTCCCTATATGTATTCTGTCAAATATCATCAATTATTTTCAGAATTGCAATCTTGAATTCTGTGGTATTTATATCACATATTTCTATGTGTTTAGGTATGTTTTCTGGAGGTTCATTTTCTTTCTTAGCTACCTCACTACCTTGGCTATTTCTTGGTATTTGATGGGTTCCTTCTCTGCCTAGACATCTGTATATAAGTGGCACTTCTTTAGAAGATTAAAACAAAGAGGCCTTTCTATGCTTTTTCAGTAGGTGGTGCTGAATCACAAGATTTTTAACTCTGTGAAATCCCAGTGCATCCTTGTAGCTAGATGCTGCCATCGCCGTAGCTACAATGCATGTGTGTGGTTTGAGCTGGGGAAACCAACCAGCTTCCTTGTTTTTTTGCCCTCTTGGTAATGGTGACTTTGGGGACATCTTGGGGTCCCCATGTGCCCCAGCCCTGGTACTGTTCACAGTTGCACCCTTTGCCCACAGAAAAATATGATTCTGTAGTACAATTTCTCAGGCTTGCAGATAATTGCTCACAACCTAACACCAAGAGGAAAGGGAGGCAAGCTCTGAGAGGCTATGGGGGGTAGAAGGGCATAGTGGCTTTGTTTCTTTGTCTGGAATGCTGACCATCTGGCAGGTGCACTTCTGTGCTGTGTTCTTGCCTAAGTCTCTGAGCTCAGTGGCAGCTTGTGCTGCTTTCACTTGTGGGAGTGCCAATGAGATCTCTTTGCTCATGCCAGCTGAAGGGAATGCTAGCCACAACCAGATTTCTTCCCTGGCTATAGATTAAATAGGCTGCATCGGTGGATCATCTCAGCCCTGCTCACCTCCCCTTTTCGTTCTTACTTGCTTACTTTTAGATGTTTCAATGTCCAGATGTCTCAGACCATGTTTATGGGTCGAGCAGAGAATCCTTTGTTAGGTTATAGCTGTTCAAGTTGTTGAAACTTCAAGAGGAGAGACTGAGGGCTTCTCTCATGCTGCCATTCTTTCTGATGTGACTCCTAAGTTTTTCTTTTGAGATTTTATTGTCTGCAAGGTCTTTCTCATCTCTTGAACCTACAAAAGAACTCTGGTTGCTGCTAGCAACCACAACAATCAGCCCCTTCCACTTTATCCTGGCTAAAATGGACTGCTGGAGGGTGAGGGAGAATGGGTGAAAAAGTGATACAGAACAAAGGCAGAAAGTGTGATGTTAATATGATACCATCTGTTTAGTATTGATTTAATGTTATGGCCCATTTTTATTGCTGAAATATTATCCTGGAATATCATGTATTTATTGATATGTAAATGTGCAGACACATGTGTATGCATATGTATGAGTTATAATTTATAGTCTTCTAATTCACAGTCCATTTGAGGTCCAATGTCTGAATAAAAACTTTCTCAACTTATTTATTTTATTAGGAACTTAGAATTTTTATTTTTATTTTTCTAACCAGAAAGAGCTCCTTTGTGATCTAGTTGGAATTTCACCATCCTCCAAGCATGATGTGCTTAGGGAAGCTGTCCTTAAGAAACTAGGAGGAGATAGTACTCAGCTGGAGGCTGCTGAACGGTAGGCACCCACTCATCAGTTTAGAGCAAAATATTGTATCAATGATTATTTAGTCCTTTTTCATCAAAGAAAGGTCAAAATAGAACCAAGCATTTTAAATTGTCTTTTATTAATTTTCTGCTCTATTGTTGTGGAGAGATTACCGTATACCATGTTCATGTGGGGATGAAATAGAGAAATTCAATGGCAATTACAACTTGGGAAATACTTGAGACACTTTACTACTCAATTCCCAAGAAAGGTGGTTTTTTTTTTCTCCTGTAGGACATTCACCCAGTCTTTTTCCAACCATTTTAAAACACTCATTCACATGACTGACACATTTTGTTGGTATCCTTAATGCAGGAGAACTAACCTGTTGGTTAATCTCATTGGAACACTATGGATTCCAATAGTGTTCCAATGTATCAGTTTTGCTCCAGAGAGTACTTTCCTGGAGAGTCGGGGGATGATTCTACCAGTTAAAACATCACTATTGCTGTTGTTATTTTACAGTTGAGGAGGGTCTTATAACTTGAACTGTCATTTTGTTATTCTACCCTTGAAGAGTAAATCCAAGGGGTGTTCCCTTCTGCTTCCCAGGTGAGAACATGTACAGGACTTGAACTAATGCAGCCACCTCTTATGCTTCTCAGGTTGGGATTACTTGGGGATGAACAAGTCCCTCGGGCAGAGTCTGTGGTGGATGCCCTTTCCAAGCATTTGGCTATGAAACTCTCCTATGGTAGGCTATGGGCTATTAAGAAAATGTCCCAGAAGAAAAAACATGAGATATTGTTAGTACAACTAGCAAATTAGATTGGAGAGCTGGAGCAAAGCAGTAGAGGTGGGGATGTATAATATGAGGGAAAGAACACTGGGTTATGTTTTCAGAGGGAAGAATGAAAGAATTGTCAATTAAGAATGAACGTGGGCCTGCATGTTTGTGGCCAGGCTGTTGTGATAACAACTTGTATAGAAGAGCATGATTGGAGTTATAATTCCTTGAATTTTTCAGTTGGTCTTTGAGCTAAAAATAAGTATAGATCATTGCCTAAAGGGCTATATACAATGGGAGGGAAACTTGTGAAAGCAGAAAGGCAGCAGCAGGAGATGAAATAGGACGCTGGAGTTGTAATGATGATGACACTTTAAAACATCTGTTTATTTTTTTTAAGGTCCTGGAGAGAAAGATATGATTGTGATGAGAGACAGTTTTGGAATCAGACATCCTTCTGGACATTTAGAAAATAAGACTATTGATCTTGTGGTTTATGGAGATGTGAATGGCTTTTCAGCTATGGCTAAAACTGTGGGGTTACCTACTGCTATGGCAGCCAAAATGTTGCTTGATGGTAAGTTCCTTTGTCTTATCTCCAAGTCATCGAGTGCCTGGACATCAAATAATTATTCTTGAGTATAACACTGGCATTCACTAGAAGTGAGCCATCTCTGTAGGAGTTGGGGGAGATAGAAGAGGGTATGGGGGAATAAATGGTGATAGAAAGAGACTTGAATGTGCAACACAATATACAGATGGTGTATTATAGAATTGTATACCTGAAACCGATATAATTTTATTAACCAATGTTATCCCAGTAAATTTAATAAAAGAGCAAAATGAATAAATAAATAAAAGTGAGCCATCTCAGAAGATCCAGGTGCTAAATGACTGGGAGATCACTCTGTGGTGAATAAAAGTCAAGGGCTTTAGAGTTAGACCTGCTCTGTGTCCCAGCTCAGTCACAAGACAGCTGAGTGATAAGGTACAAGCTACTCAGCATCTCTGAGCTAGAGTTCCCTCATCATTAAATTGGGAAATGTCATCTCTAATTCATAAGGTTGTTGTGACACTGAAGTGAAATAATACATAAAGTTCCTGCCACACACATGTTAACTCTCTTTCCTTGTTTATTCATATTCTGGGGGTGGTAACACTGAAATAGCAGAGGGTATTCACTTCTAGATTTCAAAAAAGGACACCATTTTTAATTTTATTTTTGCCTGGAACACATTTGTTTTTGAGACCACTTTTTATCAATCTTTATATCTCAGTATATTATCAGTACTCAGTAAATATTTTGAACAAAATTAATTCAAATTTTAACTCTTCACTCTTCCCTTATGATTACATATATGTTTAAACAAGCATTACCTCTGAGTATAATATCCTATTTGGCCCTTGTGAAAGTGTGAGGAAAGTAGAAGACATCAAAGGATATTAATATTAAATAACAAGAAAACATATGTACATATCAGCTAATATCAAATTAAAACATATACTTAGTTACTGAGGAACCAGAGTGGTGAAGTGATGTATGAAGAGGTCAAAATGGCATTTAAGGAACGTGTCCAGACTTACTGTTTCAGTGATCCTAGCAGACATATGTGCCCAAAAAAACAGATGGGTTTTAATTCATTCTGTTGGTGTTATGCTTTTAAATAAAATGACATTGGCAAAAGAAAAAAGCAGACCAGTTTGATTTACTTTACTTTCTTAATATACTTTATTATTTAATTATCTTAACAGGAGTTAATGCAGTCAAGTATAAAAATTGTGACCCTGTCCCTAAGGGCAGATTGTTTTGCTATATAAAATTAACCCCCCCTCTTTTCAGAGTATTGATTAAGTAATAATTTAGCAGGGGACATTGAACAGGTATTTTAAAAATGGTCAGGCCTCCAACAATGGATTGACTCTGAGCTTAATGCTATGTGGAGACTTGCTGTAGAAATTAACCTTTAATATCACCTTTAAAATGGCAACTATAAATTTATTTTCTTTCAGGTGAAATTCAAGCTAAAGGCCTGATTGGACCTTTTTCAAAGCAGATCTATGGACCAATACTGGAGCGAATTAAAGCAGAAGGCATTATTTATACAACACAGAGCACAGTCAAATCTTAATTAAGAATTATATTTTGTTTTTATCTTCCTATACAACACAGTTATGAACACTTGTGCCACAAATATATTTGCTACAGTGCTATTTTAAAATATAAAACATGTGTTTTGATTAAGTCACTACAATGTGTTTTAAAAGATAAATCTTTTTTTCATGTGAAAATATTTGGAACAGAACATGCCAGTAATTACCAGAGAACTTTAATGTTCTATAATGTATTTTTTCATGTTTATGTAAGAATGATAATGACTGTGCTATTTGTTAATTTATTGTGCAACTGTTTTCCTACAAGAATATATTTTATTATACTCAGCAGATGAAGTTTCATCTTTTTAGATGGGAAATATTTCCTCAACACCACAGAAATAGAAAGGATCATCAGAGACTCCTACAATCATATGCCAACAAATTGAAAAACCTAAAGGAAATGGATAAATATTTAGAACCATCCACCCAAGACTGAATAATGAAGAAATAGAAAATCTGAATAGACTTGATTTCAAGTAATACAATTGAATCAGTCATTTCCCAAAGACAAAGTCCAGGATCATATGGCTTTCCTGGTGAATTCTGTCAATAATCTAAGAGTCAACACCTATCTTTCTCAAATTATTCCAAAAAATTAGAGAGGAAGGAATACTTCCAAACTCATAGGACTAGACTGACAGTCCAGAAATAACCCTCACATTTATAGTTAACTGATCTTTGAAAAGGGTGCTAATACAATTTGCTGGATGAAATTAGTCTTTTCATCAAAGGGTGCTGGGACAACTGAATATTCATATGTAGAGGACTGAAGTGGGCCTTTATCTCATAGCACATACAAAAATTAAAGTGGACCAAAGGCTTAAAAATATAAGAGCAAACACTATAAACTTTTAGGAAAAATTAGAAGTGTAAAAGTTTATGACCTTGGTTTTATGGCAATGGTTTCTTAAGTAAATGACAATAAAAGCACAAGCAACAAAAGAAAAAAATAGATAAATTGGACATCAATGGAATTAAAAACTCTTGTGCTTCCAAGTATACCATCAAATAAGCAAATAGACAATCCACAGAATGAGAGAAAATTTTGCAAATCGTATATAAAGAAAGGGAAGAACTTGTATTTAGAATACAGAAACAACTACTATAATAAAAAGAGAAAGATCCTAATGTAAAAAAATTAACAAAGGATCTAAATTGACAGTTCTCCAAAGAAGATAAACAAAAAGCCAGTAAGTGCATAAAATGATGCTCAACATTATTAGCTGTCTGAGAAATGCAAATCAAACTCATAATGAGATAGTACTTCATACTCATCAGGATAGTTATAATAAAAAAAAACAAAAACAGTGCTGCTGAGGATGTAAAGAAATTGGAACTTTCATAAACTGCTGTGGGAATGTAAAATGGTACAGCTGTTTGGGAAAATGGTTTAGCAAGAAGGCTAAACATAGTTACCATATCTATCCAGCCACTGTTAGGTATATACCCAAGAGAAATGAAAACATGTGTTTTTATGTAAAAACTTGTAAGCAAATGTTTATAGCATATTCATTCTAGCCGAAAATGAAAACAAGCCAAATGTTGGTCAACTACTAAATCCATAAACAAAATTTGACATATACATACAATGGAATATTATTTGGCAATAAAAATGTACTGAATAATATAGGCCACAACATAGATGAACCTTGAAAACATTATGCTAAGTGAAAGAAGCCATATATATTATTTCATTTACATAAAATGTCCAGAATAGTCAAATCTATGTAGAGAAATTAGATTAACAGTGGTTTAGGACTTCAGGTTCACGGGATGAGTTGGAGTGACGGCCAGTGGGTTTAGGTTCTGTTTTGGGGTGATGGAAATAGTGTGCAGTTGGTTGTGATAATGGTGGCATCTCTGAATATACTAAAAAAAATCACTGAGTTGTATACTTTGAATGTGTGAATTGTATGGGGGTGTGAATTAAATCTCAAGTTGTACAAAAGAGAATCAATTACAAATAAAATTTTTTGGCTCCTTGGGAAAAATACTATATACAATTAATTATTTTTTTCATTTTCACCAATAACTTTATTGATTTGGATATTTTGAGTAGGTCGGCTATCTCCTGCATGATATAACAGTGATTGTTCTCACTTGATGTCTCAGTTTGATCGCTATCAACTTCAACTACCCAACCATCGAGTATTGTCTAGGGAGAAATCTCCAGCATGAAACTTTGCAAACCCCTTTTGACATGTTCCATCAGTAAAAATGTTATGTATATAGACTAAATACCTGTTTGCTTTCATGGGCTGTGCTCATAACCTGGTATATAAAACTAATTCTTTTTTCTTATTGAATTTGTTAGAGTGACTTTGATTAATGAAACCAGAGGTTTTCAGTTGCAACTCAGTAACATATGATCTGCATACTGAATTCTGCATTCACAGCCCAAAGTAAAGTCTTTTTCAGCCTGAATTTATCCCTCCTTTGCACTCTTCCACTTCCCTCACCTCATTCCTCTGGCAATTACCATACTGTTATCTGTGTCTATATGTTGTTGTTATTATTTTTTTTGCTCAATCCCTTCAACTTTTTCACCAACCCCCCCAATCCTGTCCCCTCTGACAGCTGTCAGTCTGTTCTATATATCTAGGCTTCTGTTTTTATTTTGTTTGTTAGACTATTTAGTTCATTAGATTCTACATATAAGTGAAATAATAAATTATTTGTCTTTCTCTGACTGGCTTAATTCACTTAGCATAATACTTTCCAGGTCCATCCATGCTGTCACACAAGATTTTCTTCTTTTTTATGGCTGAGTAGTATCACATTGTGTAAGTGTACCAAAGCATTCTTTTATCCATTCATCAACTGATGGACTCTTGGACAGTTTCCAAATCTTGGCTTTTGTAAATAACACTGCAGTGAACATACGGGTGCATGTATTCCTTTGAATTAGTGTTTCAGTTTTCTTTGGATATATTCTCAGAAATGGAGGAATCATTGGGTCATAAGACAGTTCTATTTCTAATTTTTTAAGGAAACTCTATACTGTTTTCTACAGTGGCTGCATAAATCTTTATTCCCAACAACAGTGCCCAAGCTTTCCCTTTTATCCACATCCTTGCCAGCACCTATTGTTTGTTAATTTATTGATGACAGTCATTCTGATAGTTGTGAGCTGTTATCTCATTGTGGTTTTAATTTATATCTCTCAGATAATTAGTGATGTTGATGAGCATCTTTTTATAAGTCTAATCTCCATCTGTATGTCCTCCTTGGAGAAGTGTGTATTCAGGCCCTTTGCCCATTTTTAAATTGGATTGTCTTCTTGCTGTTGAGTTGTGTAAGTTCTTTATATATTTTATAAATTAACTCCTTATCAGATGTATCACAGGCAAATATGTCCTTCCATTCATATGTCCAACCATTCAGTTGGTTATCTTTTCATTTTGTTGATGGTTTCTTTTGTTGTGCAAAAACTTTTTAGTTTGATTGAGCCCCATGTGTTTATCTTTTTCTTTTATTTCCCTTGCCTGAAAAGACATATCACAAAAATATTGCTAGGAGAGATGTCTGAGATTTTACTGCCTGTTTTCTTCTAGGATTTTTATGGTTTTGTGACATACATTTAAGTCTTTAATCCACTTTGAGTTTATTCTTGTGTACAGTGTGAGAAGGTGGTCTAGTTTCATTTTTTTTTGGCATGCATCTGTCCAATTTTCTTAATACCATTTATTAGATAGACTGTTTGGACCCCATTCTATGTTCTTGGCTTCTTTATCAAATATTAAGTGATGATAAAGATGTGGGTTTATTTCTGGGCTCTCTATTCTATTCTATTGATTTATGTGCCTCTTCTTATGCCAGTACTATGCTATTTTGATTACTGTGGCATTGTAGTGTAGTTTGATATCAGTTATGTGATAACTCCAACTTTGTTCTATTTTCTCAAGATTACTTGAGGCTATTCAGGGTTTTCTGTGGTTTTATATATATTTTTAGAGTATTTGTTTTAGTTCTATGAGATGTGCCATTGGTATTTTAATAGGAATTGCTTTGAATGTATAGATTACTTTGGGCAGTATGGACATTTTAATGATGTTCATTCTTCCTCTCCATGAACACGATATATGCTTCCACTTATTTGTTCCTCAGTGTCTTTCTTCAGTAGCCTATAATTTTTGGAGTATAGGTTTTTTTCTAAAAAAAAATATTTCTTTATTTTTAGAGAGAAGGGAAGGTAGGGAGAAAGGGAGAGAGAGAAAGACCAACATGGATGCCTGTCATGCAACCCCTACTGGGGACCTGGCCCACAACTCAGGTATGTGCCCTGACTGGGAATCAAACCCACAACCCTTTAGTTCACAGGCTGGTGCTCAACCCACTGGCCACACCAGACAGGGTGGTCTTGGACTTCTTGATTATATTTATTCCTAGGTAATTTATTTAATTTTACAATAGTCAATGAGATTGTTTTCTTATATTTTCTTTATGATAGTCATTATTGATATATAAAAGTGCCACCAATTTCTGAATATTCATTTTGTATCCTGCTACTTTACTGAATCCAATGATCAGTTCTAGTAGTTTTTTTAAAGGTTTTCTATGTACAGTATCATGTAATCTGCAAGTAATAACATTTTACTTTCTCCTTTCCAATTTGAATCACTTTATTTCTTCTTCTTGTCTGATCACTGTGGTTAAGACTTTCAGTACTACATTTAATAAGAGTGATGAAAGTAAAAATCCCTGTTTTGTTTCTGATTTAAGGGAAACACTTTCAGTTTTTTGTCCATTGAGTATGATGCTGGCTTTGGGTTTATCATATATGGCCTTTAGTATGTTGAGGTATGTTCCCTCTATCACCACTTTACTGAGAGTAATTTTCATAAATGGGTGCTGGTAAAACATTCTAGTCTTTAAATAAGCTGGTATTACATGTTGAGTACATGGCAGTTCAGAAAGCATCTATGCTCTTTGAAAAGGATCAAGGTTGATTAAGGTCTTGTCCTACCTGTCACATATAATATATGGAGATCATTAATCTATTAATAAGTGAAGGCATTTCTTTTGTGGCAGTTATTTACCACAACATTGTGGTTTACATAATCAATTTGGAAACACAGCTTGATTGCACCTTCAATCTTGAAGAGTGCCCTGATGGAATGGGAACTAGGAAACTAGCACCTTGGGTGAAAGTAGGAACCTCTTGAGAACTTGATATGATTAACTGGTTTTGGCTTTATGATCACAGTGGTTTAAGAGTTGGTATATGGTCAGTGCTAAAAAAGGAAATGTCAGTAAGCTTGAGTAAAGACACATATAATCAAACACTACATTGGCTGTCAGTAACAAGTTTTCCAGCAGAAGTTTCAATAATAAGGATTGTGTTGGTAGAATCTGGAGATGAACAGATAGGTTGTGGTTATAAGCATAGAACTCTATCAGGGGTCAAAAAACTTATATAGTACATATTTTAAGCTTTTAAGGCCAAAGGGTATCATAACCGCTTATTTCTCCTTTGTAATACAAAAGCAGCCAATGATGACACATAAATGAGTGAACACGACTGTGTTCTCTTAAAACTTTATAAAAATAGGTGGTGGGCAGACTTGTTCCTTGAGTCATAATTTGTAAACCCTGGTCTAACCATTTTGGTAGACTGAATATCTACATCTTCCAGATCTTTGCATCTCTTTTGGCTTCTTTCAGATAATATCAATTTTCTATTTCCCAGTTTTCTTTGCTCTAGACCCTTGAGATAGTAGACCTTGGCCTTTGAGAAGCAGTGTGATAGGCTATGCAATATACTGACTGTTTTCTTCTACATAAAATGGGGATTACTTAACAGGATGATTTTAAAGGTTAATGAGATGATATAGAGAAAAGCTTGATAATGTAGTTGATGTTTGAAAACATCAGTGTTCTCTCTTCAGCAATAACACTTTTTCCTGAAGTTTATGTTAAAGTTAATGAGATTTTAGCTTTCAGATATTTTTTATATTTTGCATATATTTGGAGGACTCCTCAAACATCCATACTGCTCAAACAGACGATTTATATATCTGCTCCACAAGAAGAATCTTGAAGTGGTAGTAGAGTAGAAAGGGCCAAAACAATTTGACCATGACCCTGATATCACAGAAGAGAAAATGTGTCTTAGAAAGTTAAATGACCTGCCTAAGGTGACAACAGTTAATATTGAAATTTGATCATTATTTGGAGACCCAAAATACTTTATAAAATTTAGGAAACACTCTGATTTATAAAACTTCTTTTACATGGGTTATTAGGGCCACCACAAACTCATACAATGCCTTTCTGAGAATTGGAGAAAGGCACTATTTTTTTCAAGGACACTCCTATCTGTCAAGTAACTATCAAATATATTTTTTTCAACACAACAAACACATTACCACTTTATTGAAAAGTTGGCATTATAAATACTAATCATATTAAATATATTATAATAAACATTTAGTGCTGTGATATGATTAGCTTTCTCTTAAATGCAGTGCACAATTTGAATAGAGATGAAAAGCAGCTAATCTTATCCCTATGTATATAGATTAGCTTGCTTTACAATGATTGACATTTCCTGATTGTTTGCATTGGAAATACATTTACCACACCCAAATTCTACTGAAAGGGATCCAGTGAGAAAAAACTGCCTGTTTTGGAGCAATACTTGTTAGTCACTGACAGCTAATCTTATAACTTCCTATTTCCAATTTTCTTTTTGTACTAACACTCATTCTTAATATTTGTTAATTAGCAAGAATTACAAACCACAAGGCTAAGGGCACTAACTTGGAAATGTAAAGGTTCTGTTTTTCCAGTTTAAGTTGTTGGTGAGGAAAACAGAAGGTTTCTAGTGTCTTCTACTATTGTGTTTATTGGTAATGTGTACCACATCACTGGATAAAAATTCATAAACCCTGCAGTTAATTCATAAATCTCACCCTCGGACTGAGAGCCTGAAGAAGCTGCATTGATGGTGCTCTCATCTTTCCTTCACTGAAGATGACTGCGGGCTGTGGC